TGGTGGCTTCCAGGGCCTTGGGGGTTAGGAAGGGGAGGGTGGATAAACTATTAAAGGATAGGAGAGAGTCTTGTGCTGATGGTAGCTAAGTATGTTCACCGTGGTAGCAGTTACATGAAGCTACAGATGTGATAAAATTGCACAGACACGGCATACACAGAGGATGGCATGTATAACTGGTGAAATCTGAAAAAGCTCTAAGCTTTGTATGAATGTTAACTTCCTGCTTTGGATATTGTATCAGAACTGTAAAATGTGAGCTGGGGGAGGCTGGTGCATGTTTTTTTTGTTTTTGTTTTTGTTTTTTTTATAACATCTTGAGAATCTACAGTTATTTCCAAAAAAGTGTTTAAAAACATGTGTGGTTAATAATAACATATCAATCTTTCTAAGTTTTTTCTGATCAGCTACTGATTATGCCTTTGAGTTAGGTGGAGTGAACTTACAAGAAGCCAATCAAAATAACCAAAATAACAGCTCTGTGAGTCCCAGGAGTGCCTGGGTGCTCACGTCCCAGGGGTGGCACCGAGTAACTAGTGAGTGACTCTTCAACCCTCTGAATTCAGGGGTTCATTTTGAGGCAGAGAAGCTGAAGAAGCAAGGAGGATTTTTAAAAAATGAGACAATGGGAGAGCTGCAGCAGAGGAGGGGAAGGGGGAGGGCGGTGCAAGGGGAAGGAGAGGACGCAGCCGGGCAGCCAGTAGTGGGCACAGGCAGGGTCAGAAGCCAGCCGGGCTCTGGGCCCACCACCTGCATGAAGGCCCCCAGGATCTTCCGGGCTTCCTGGTAGAGCTTCTCTCCGTCCCACTGAGGGTTGAGTTTCTTCAGCTCTCTGGCCAGCCGGTTGTGCTCCCGGAGCAGGAGGGTGTGGGAAGCAGCCAACAGGATCTGCTCTGAAGCTCGGGAATCTCCTGGAAGCCCAGACAGCAGGAAGGTGGGTCCCTCAGAGGTCCTTTGAACCCGGTAATCTGCACAAAAAGTGACGGTGCCCCCAAAGGGGCCCTCTCCCAAGCCCCTCCTCCTCTCAGTTAATTTAAGGCAAGTCAGGTAGAGAGGAATCATGGCGGGGATTCCTAAGTTACTTAACATCTCTGAGCCTCAGTCTGATCTGTGAAAATGAGGACAATAAGGCCATCTCACCAGGCAGTGGTAAAGACTAGGGTGACATGCTAAACAGTAAACATATGTTAATTGCAACCCCAATTGCCTTTGAAGATGGCAATGTACATAAATGAGGGACTTTACTGTGTGGAGCAACTTGGGAGGTTTTAGGAATGCAAGGCTGAGGACGGGAGGCCTGAGGGTAGAATTTCTCTGTGTAGCAAAGGGAGAGAAACAGAAATGGGGGCTATCAGGAGAGAGAGGAGAAAGGAGGGAGTTCAGTTAAATAGTAAGAGATGGGCGTTTCACGGGGGTCTCCTTGTGTCCTCTAATTCTCAGGAAAGTTTATAACACTCACAGTGCTTGGTCTTTCTAGAGATTTTAGCAGGAAACACGGAAGCGCTCGGTTTTGTGTTTGGATTGACATAGGCGTGTGTGGACGCAGGATCGAGAGAACTACTAAGGGATCTTGGCTTATGGACTCGCCTTCTGCCACATGACGGGGGCTGTCCCAGGAGAGTGGAGTTTTTGGAAGAAGGAAGGCCTCCACAAGCCAAGTGAGGGCATAAGCCTCTGAATGAACAGAATAGCTTTGTTTGTGCACAGGCCGTAGGGTGTGGGGGCTTTGTGGCAAGTTTATAAAAGCCTTTAAAAAATACATTCCTTTAAATCTGGAATTTCTCCTCTAGGGAGTTACCTTATTCAATTTATTAAAAATGAGCACTCGGATTTATCAATAAGGATGTTCATTACCTCTACAAAAATAGAAAACCATAGAAAAACTAGAAATCACTTACATATCTCCTAATAGGGTCAATGAAATAAATATGGTAATGCATGTCATGGAATACCAGGCAGCCATTAAAGATTATGAGGTAGAAGAAGAGTTAATGACATGTGATCTGTTAAGTGAAGGTTATAGAGGATTAATTATAGTGTGGCCCCAATTATGTAAAAACAATACAGAACTGTATCTATGATAGAAAAAGTACTGCGAAGATAGACATTCAAATGTTAAGAATGATTAGATGTGGGTGGTGGGATTTATGTGGATTTTCTTTGTGCTTTTCTGGACTTAATTACATTTTTTTTTTTTTTTTTACAGTGAACACATGTTCTTAGATTCTGTATTCATCTGGGCCCTTCTGCCGGTCCTGGACCTGTGCCAGAGACAGTGGTGGCTGGGTGTGCATTTTTCCAGAGATTGCAAAGAAGGAATAGTTGTACAGCCTCCCTAGAAGCTGGCCAGTGGCCTCTGCCCAGTGGCCTTGTGAAGTTTTTCTGGCCTCCCTCTGCTCTCAGTCCCCAGTATAAATAAATCCATTGTCTTCGCCTCCCCACCCTCAACCCCTATTCCCAGACTATACTCACCAGTCAGGAAGCAAGGCATGCGGGCAGTAGTGTTGATGAACTCACAAGGACTCGGCTTCTGGTTGTCAAAGGGCAGGTAGGCCAGCCCATGGTCAGAGACCTCCTGGTTGACAGCCAAGAGGCCCAAGGGGCTACTGAGGTTGCGGAGGCGGCTGGCCAGGCTGGGGTCAGGCCCATATACTAAGCTGGCGTCCAGGAAGCAGGTGAGAGCGTTGATCTGCTCTCGGACCAGGGACCCGTAAGGCGGCGTGGGGCAGACGAAGCCGGCTCGGAAGAAAGGCATGCACTTCCCTTGTGTCTGCACCTTGGTGTCGTTGTGTGGGAACTGCAGAGAGATGGGAGAGGGTGACTGGGCAGGGAGGCACAACTAGGCCCCAGGATGGGTCTGGATGCAGCTGACAAAAATGTCAATGGTGCCCTCCTGGAAACCTGGTACCAGATATGGGTACACTCGAACCACTCCAGAAGCCTCTTGCTGATGCGCCATAGCTTGGGCCCCAAACCCGGACGTTTATCACACCCCATCTGAGAAAGGGCTGAGAGGAATCACTTGAGCTTTCACAGACAGGGCTCCAAAACTTCAGTGGGGAGGAAGTCCTGAGATCCGGACAGGGAAGCAGGACATGGGATAGGAAAGTGTTTGTTAATAATTACTAGTATTAACAGTTGCCACTTGTTTATCTTGGACCTACCATGTGCCAGGCATAAAACCCTGTAAGACAGACAATTCATTCCCATTTTTACAGAAAACTGCAACTCGGAAAGATTAAGTAACTTGCCCTAGAACTTAAAAATGGGAAAGGAAAGATGTGAGATTCAGATCCATACTGTTCTTCCTCCACAGCGCACACCCTTTATACCCCAATAAGAGCCTTGATTTGTTATTTGAGTGAAGAAATCACCCTCTGACTGTTAAATTGATGAAGAAAAAGAAAAGGTCCATTATTGTACCTTCCTCCCCTTTCTGTTGGAAATTCCCACAAATTCCTGCTGCACACTCTGATCCATCCATCAGTTCCTTCTGGAAGTAGCCATCCCAGACTCCAGGTTACTTACGGCTGGGTTCCACCAACTTTACTGTGGGAGCCTGATAAAATGTAGATTTTGTTTCCCATTGTCTGGGAAGGGGCTTGATATTGCATTTTGAATAAGTCCCCAGATTATGCCCATGTAGCTGGGCCAGGGACATAGACGGCCATCCCCAGAGCTTCCCAATTTTGCCATTAGAGGGTATTTGTGCCTTTCTCACACAGGCCCTTTGTCCTTGAGGGAGGGAACAATGTCTTATTCACCTTTGACTCTCCAGTTCTTAGAGCCCTGGCTGCCATGAAATAGATGATTAGTGTCTACTTACTAAACACCCAGATGAGAGGCTGGATGGATAAATGCGGGAGGTTATCAAATCAGTTTTCATGATCCACCAAGAGACCCTAACTGGGAGTGTCCACCACATCCGGGTGGCAAGGGGTTTGTTGGGGACATACAACTTTGGGAACCTACCATGATGGGGAAACAGTTGCCTCCCTGGATACAGTCTTGGTCACACTGTGCTTTGGAGTACTCACTGCTCCCCAGCTCAGTGTCAGGGGCAAAGTCCAGGTCGTGGTCCAAGATTTGGCCCCACTGCATGAAGAACAGGGACCTGTCTTGATCCAGGACACCCTCCTCGTTTAGGTAGCCTGCAATCTGGTTGGATACCTCCCGAGCCTAGGAGAGCGAGAGAAGGGGACGGGGGGTTGAAGGGAAGAGTGGCTTGAGGATTCAGAGTCAACTAGTTTAGTGAGTATCTACGGCATAACAGGTGCATTTATTTAATCCCCATGACAAGCTTGTGAAGGTGGTGGCGTTACCCCCATTTTGTACTTGAGGAGACTGAATCCTAGAGAGGTGAGGTCTATTCTCCAACGTCCCCTACAAAAGGGCGCTGAATGTGGGTCTGGATGACTAGGCCAGTGCTCTTTCCACTACTGACACGGGAAACAAAGACAGGCAGCCTCTCAAGCAAGTGCCCTGGAGGGGCCAGGTGTCTGGAAGAAGGAGAGGGGCTCAGGGGAGGGGCTGCCAACTCAGATGAAGCCAATAGATAGGACCCCCAGGCGAATGACAGCTGATGCACCCCAGGGGCTAGGGCAGGGTAAGCCTGAGCAGGATGGGGCAAGGCGGCCATCTGCCGGGAGACCACGGGGTGTCTGGCCCAGGGCAGCGGGCCCTTGACCACCCCGCAGCGGGGCTCGAGACTCTGCTGCCCTCTAGCGGCATCGGGGAGACGAGCCGGGAGCGCGCGCGGCTCCATCCACGCCGCAGCCTGCGGTTCTCCCCGCCCCCCCAGCTTCTTTGTCTCCCTTTCCGCCTGAATTTGGGGGGTGCTTCTCCCCGCCGCGGGCCTCCACCCAGCACCCTCCTGCTCGCGGCTCGCCCCCCTGCCGGGCGCCCTCACCGGCGGGAGAGGGAAGCCGTTCCGCGTCTTCCCCGGCGTCCACCCGAAGGGCAGCGCGAGCCCGTCCTCGTACTCCGCGGGCAGCCAGCGCGCCAGCGCCCGGTTGGCGGCCCCCAGGGCGGGGTTCCTCCTGCAACCGAGCGGGACCTCCTTTAGCCCGGGCAGCGCTCTGGTCCTGGGTTTGCTTCTCTTCAAAACCCACGGGGGCCCGGGAGGGCTGAGAACCTCTGCCCGAGGCAGGGAGGTGCTGAGCAGCCCTCGCCAATGTGGCGGTTCTGAACTACCCCCACCCCCGAAGGCTGGACTCTTCTGCCTCGGGAAGGGTGCTGCTTGCAGAAGTAATCTCTTGGGTGGTGGGTGCCTGGAGGAGGGTCCAGGGGAACAGATACCGGTGGGAGGGAGTCCTGCTTGAATGCCCAAGCGGCACAGGCCTTGGCTGGGCTGGACAGAGCAGGTGGGGTGGACAGGGCAGGTGGGGTGGACAGGGCAGGTGGGCAAGGCAGGTGGGCCGGGCATGACCCTTATTATGCCTGGTCACCTGTTATTGCAGTTTCCGGTGATGGTTCGGTAATTGCTGTTCTTGTCGCAAGCCACCGCAGGAACCAGGGTGCCGCAGCCCACCTCCCTGGAGAGCGCATTAAAGTCCAGGTTGGGGCCTGAAACAGAAGGGACCCCAAAGGGGGTGAATTTGTTCTGAAGCACTGGTGGGGGGAGCAGGAATAGAAAACCAGGGATAAAGGTAACACTTTTTGGAATATATTTTGTATTCTAAGTAAGAATTTTTCAGGTGGTTTCTCATTTTAACCCTGACAGCTCATTAAGGTAAGACTTTTTATTCCCATTTTTACAGAGAATAAACTGAACCCATAGAGACTTGCCCAAGGTTATACAGACAGTAACTGACACTGTTACCAGAATTGTTAGCAATTCTTCTATCAGGGCATTTGAACCAAAGATCTTTCTTTTAGAATGAAACAACTACTGAGAAATTAAGTGTGTGTTTTCATGAATTAGTTTGCTAAGGCTGCTTTTCTTCTATAGCGTCTTGATATAAAATACCAAGCATGCAGGAATCTACCTAGGAAAGATGTTGGGACAGGTAATTTCAATGTGAGGGCCAAGGTGTGGTCTTCGAGGAGTAACATAGTGTGTGTGGAGTGGGGGAGGGCGGAGGGCGATTTTAGGCATCAGAAACTTCTACATGGGCACAGAAGAAAGACAGCTGCCTCCTCCTGATTGCATTCTTGTGTCTGCAATGAAAGAGGGGCAAGGAATCTGGGGACTTCTTTAGAGGGAGCCATTTGTGAAAGTTGTCAGGGGCTGGAGTTCAGCCTCCAACATCATTTTAATCTCAGAGTCCAAAGTGCTCCCTACTTTGTCCCAGTTTCCTTTTGTTGAAGCTTTGGAATCTGCCCAAGTCCAAGGTCCAGTGCCCACTTGGTGCTTTCCCAGGGATAACCTCAACCTATTCCTCCTGTGGGACCAAACTCCGCCATCCATGGGCCTCCTAACATGAGCTGTGACATTTGGTAGTGGTAGGGTGGAGGAGTTGGAGAAGGTCACTGTTTCAATCTGTCTGTTCATTGTTTCAGTTCTATGTTACCCAGAACGAGATGGAAATCTTGTCTCCTGTGGCATAATCCCAGTTAATCCCCCTGACACGGGAGGTTTAAATGTCCCCTTCCCAGGGGGAAGTGGTGACACTGGGGTTTGGGGTGGGAAGTTCTTGTGTGTTGACTTTAGTACTTCCTCTGGAAAGAGGTCTTGCAGATGTTATTTTACAAAGATCATGAGTGTCCCCTTCTTAAGACAAAATGTGACCTTGCTGGGCATGAGTTTCTTCCTCTCAACCCCTCCTCCCTCTGCAGGCCTGTGATTCTAGGGAGATTCAGGAGTGCCTGGGGACTAGATAGCTCCAGTGGAGAATACAGGTTTGGTGGCTTCTGGTCTTTCCTGTGAAGAATTGGTCCCTTCCTGCTGCAGGGTTCTCTGTACCTGTGTCATTGGCCAAGGTTGCTTTCTGCCTCAGTCTCTTAAAGGACTCCTCCCACACCTGCCCGTTGCGGATGGCCGTGCGTGTGCGGCCTTTGGCGTGCTTGAGGTACTCCGAGAGCTGGCGAGTTGTGGGCACCTCTGAGCTCATGGCGGTCTTCAGCCTGCAATGGATAGCAATGGGGGGGGGTCATGCCCAGGCCCCTCAAGCTGCCAGCTTGGAGAAGGAAGGGTGATATGGTGAGGGGTACAGGGAGGAATCACAGGGGTGTGGGTAGCATGCAGGAGATAAATCCTCTCAAGATCTTTTTTTATTCTTTTTCTGAGGCCTCTGGAAATTCTCTCTCGGGAAGAAGAAGTTACAGTGTGTTTTAAGTTTGTTAGGACATGAGCGCTTCCTGCGTCAGATTCTGAAGGTTGCAGCTAAGCTGGCTGCATCAGAATCAGCTGGGGAATGTTAAAAATACCAAGTCCCAGGACATACTGATTCAGTCAGAGGAACCCCTGGTATCTCATCAAGCTTTGTGGACAGAGAATTCTAGATATAATATGTTTATGGGCCTCCCTTTCTGTCCCTGAAGACATCCTTAGTTGCATCTGGCCCTGGAGTTGGTGTGGAGTTTGTTTAGATGTGAGCTGTAGCATCAACCTTTGCTGGCATGTTTTGGCGCCAGATGGTCAACCTTTTTATTCCTTAATTTCCCATGTGTAAAACGAGAAGTCCAAAACCCTGGTACTGAGAAGCTTATGACAACACGGAGGTGACTGAGGCAAAATCAGAAAAGTCCCTCCATGAGAACCCTCTACCCCCTCCCCGTGCCCTGGTTTCTCTGTGTGTGCGACGGGAGGGGTCTGTGAGATGATCTCCATGACTCTGTGATTCTGAAATATTGGAAGTGACTCAAATTAGCACCAAAGACAACCCTGCTTTGGGGTACAATTCACTGACCACCCCTGGCCTGTCAGTTATTAAGTCTGTTTCAGGTGTGAGGGGGCCTGATTTCTCAGCCTGAGGGGCCACAGGCATGACAGGGATGACCGGGCTCTAATCACCAGGCTGCCTCTCTTCCAACTTGCCCCAACTTCAGTTAAAAAGAACCCAAGAGGGGCCTCCCCGGTGGCGCAGCGGTTGAGCGCTGGGTTGCGAAGCTGCCTGCGGCCTCTGCGGCACCAGTTCGATCCCCGGCTGCTCCCCGGCCACAGGAGGAGGGTCCCACATGGCACGCAGACCTCTCCTGCCGCCCGCTGCTCCCCTCAGCAGTGTACTTCGGTCCTTCTGCCTGCTCTGCTCCCCACTCTGGCTCTGGTGAATTCTCTCACCCTCCTGCGCTTCTGACTGTACCCAGTGCATGTATAAACAAAACAAACAAACAAATATAATAAATAAATAAATAAATAAAACCATGCCTCTATAAAAAAAAAAAAACTAAAAAAAAAAAAAAAAAGAACCCAAGAGTTGATAAAGTAGACTGTGCCGCTGTCCAAGAGCTCAGTGGCCAGACTGCTGGGCCACCTGTGCTAGTTAAACGGAAATGCATTCACATTAAATGTAATTAAGAATTTAGTTCCTCAGTGGCCGAGGTCAAATTTCAAGTGCTCAAGAGCCACAGATAGTTTGTTAGTGGTGCCTGTATTGGACAACCCAGATGGTTCTGCTGAACAGCATGGACTTAGAGTTTGGGCCTAGAGGCAAGGCTAGAATCCCAGTCCCTCCACCACTGCTCTGCTGACGTGGCCCATGCATGCCCTGGCCCTCCTCAGAGAATGGGGAGTCATCGCGGTGTTTACATGCATCGGACTTGGGGACACACTGGCGGGTTTCGCTCCTGACTGCCGCTTACTAGCCGTCTACCTGCAGGCAAGTTACGGGATCTCTTTCTGCCCAGTTTCCTTATCCATGAAATGCAGATAGTGATGGCATCCTTGGGATCTCTTCTTATTTCTCTTCTGTTGCTTCTGGAAAATTTCTTCTGGGTGGGGGAAACTAATTGACCATTTTTTACCTCAAAAACAGCTCTTTCATATAGTTTGATTTAGTGTTTCGTAAGATTTCTTGGGAGAAAGGAACATAACGTTCTTGGAGCTGTACATGGCACAGAGCAAACACCAGCGTTAGCATCAGCCACTGGTATCACCAACCAGGGCCTGAAGGGGCTGTTGCGAGATATTTTAGAATTCCCCTCCCCCCAATAAAGGTGGGTTGTGAGGTTCTAGGTGCTCCTTCCTCCCCCTACCCTGTGTGAGGCGAGGCTCTCCTGCCTCACGGGCTCACCAGAAACTTACCTCCTGCTTTGCTCAAGGCTAGGCTCCTTGGGAGGGGGCAGGGCTTTGGAAGAACTCTTCTTCAATTTCCAGAACTCCACCCTCCTCCTAGCCACTGTTCTCTCCCATCTGGATGGCTGAAGCAACTTCCGAACTGGGCTTCTGCCTCCATGCTGTCCCCTTCCATCTGTTCTCCATGGAGCTGCTGCAGAGATCTTCTTAGAACAGAGTTCTGACAAGCCGCTCTCTGACTAAATCACCTGGCTGGCTTAGCCTGGGACGGGGTCCATCTGCTCACTGCATTTCATGCGCAATGTGTTGTACAACCATTGCCTCTATCAAGTTCCAAAACATTTCCATCACCCCCAGAGGAGACCCCATCCTCATTAAACAGCCCTCCCCACTTCTCCTCCCCTCCCCCTAAGCCCCTAATTTGCTTCCTGTCGCCCTCCAGGTCCACCTCGGTCCTCACTCTGTGTTCATTCCTCCTTGCCTGGCTTTCTCTCTGTTTCCTGAACACTCAAAACTCTTTCCTGCCGTTGCCACACTCAGTACCTAGAATGCCATCCCCCTGGCTCTCTGCTGGGTTGGCTGTGTAACAAGATGTTTCAGTGGGATTCTTTCATCTCCATGAGAACTACCCAGTGGGTACAAGGCTGAGAACTAACCCAAGAAGACAACAAGCTCCAAAGCAGGTGCTGGGTACCACTTGCACAATGGGCGGTGAACACTGATTTTTTTGGTCTTTATCCTCTCCCACCCTCCCTTGGGGCAATGAAAGGATTGAACTTAAAGAGGGAGAGAGAGTTTTCATTTGGAGATAGTTGCTGAATGCCAGGCCTTTCCATTCTGCCACCATGGACCTCCCCTTTGCTTTAAGTCTAGTGACAAAGGGCCTTAAGAGGAGGGCTCCATCGTGTGTCCTGGAGTCTGGGCTGGTGGTTGGTAGCTGTCCAGAGAGCATAAAGGAACTAAATAAGAGATTGCTGGCACTGGGTGCCTCCCAGCAGAGCTAACCCAACAAGGAAACACTGGACCTCAAATGCACATGCCTGAGGCAGTAGGGTGTTTGTTTTTCTGGGGCCTGCTTAAAGGGGCCTGGCTCATTAGTGTGGGGGAAGGGTGAGGGAGCAAGCTAGTTCACCCAGGCTGAGGGCTGCCACTCTAAGCTAATGACCAGAAACTTTTCTGGGTCATGGAGTTGGCAACAGACTCTCTGAGAGACAGGAAAACCCTCAAGGAGGGCAGGAACTTGTGACCCCTGCAAGGCACTGAGTTGCCCAGGTGACTTAGGTCTTGCCATCTGTATTTCTCTCAGTTTAACTCCTAAGGCACCAGAAACCTGGGTTGGGGTGAGAGAGGGAGTCCAGGAAAGAGGGACAAGCAAGCTGTGTTCCCTTGTCTCACCTGAGCCAAGGGAATAGGCTCTGGGCTTTGTCTGCTTATGCTGAAATTTGAATTCCTGAAATGATACTGCTGTTGGGACTAGATGTGACCTGAGCACATCTTAACATCTAAAAGTCAGCAGAAAAAGTTATGGGACCACTTGAAAGTTCATTCAAGGGCCATGGAGGAATGATGTCCCAAGTCTAGCGTAAAGGCCAGGTTGAGGAAAGAATTAGGTTTTCCCCTCTTCAATACAATGAGTACTCTTGCTTCGTGTCAGCCTCCCAACCTAGAATATGGGCTTCCTTAGGCAGGGACGCAGTCTGCATTGCTACCTCAGAAATCCCAGCCCCTACACGTAGGTGATTGTTGGTGCCTGTGGGATCCCTGAGTGCCCTTGGCTGATTTCACAGTGGTGATGTCTGGCCCCTCGCTGTCACCAGATGCAGCTGCTGGAGGCACACCCCTGGCCTCCTTGGGCCATTGTTTCCAAGCCAGTGGAGCCACAGGGGTTACACACAGTGCTACATGTTCCTTAACTCTAAGCCTGCATTAGCAGCAGCCGATGTCAAGGGTACGTCCAGAAATGAAAGCTCTGCTTCCTCGCTCCAAGGTGGGACAGGCTCTGAGGGGCACCTTCTGCTCCAGATCTCTGGGTGGGGTCAGGTGAAGCTAGACCTTAAACTATGTCCTTGTTTCACAGCCTCTTCTTTTTAGCTCTCCTGCCTTGCTCCTCACCCCAGATCTATCCAGTGCTGCTTGAGCTTGCATCCAGGCTTCTGGTTCTGCCTCAGTCAATGTAAGTTACATGGAAAACTTCCACCTATAGGCTTTCTGAGACTCTGGAATGTATGACCCAAGGAAATGTCTGGCCACGTGCAAGAGAGTGCTTATGAGATTGACTGGACATTCTCGTCAAGGTGATTTATAGGCTGAGGCATTTAGTAGTTGTGGGCTGCTATTCCTACGTGCCCCATACTGGGAGGTGGAGGGCGGGGTGGTGGAAGGGCAAGCCGGATAATTGCTCTGCATCAGTCGGCCAGGGCCGGCCTATATGTGGTTGTCATTAATATGAAGGCCGCGAGGGACGTGTGCTGTGTGTATATCTCACATACCTGGTTCGGGAATCCAGGAAGGCCTTGTTGACTTGGACCTTGACATGACTCACAGTGTCAGAGATGGAGGCAGTCCTGGAGGCCCACGCTTAGAGGAGAGGAGGAAGGAGCTGGCTGTCATACACCTCTCCCCCAGCATGCCCTCTGCTTCTGTCTCCCTCCTTCTCAGCCATGACCCCACCCCTTACATCTGTGCCGGCAGAAGGTCAAGATTAGGAAACTTTCACAAGAATCCTCAGGAGAAACAGCATAGAATGAAGACTACTCTGTTCTCAATAGAAAAGTCAAGATTAATCTTCAGGAATCCTCGAGAATGCCCAGTGATGGGGCGCAGAAAGAGTGTTACTACTCTGGGTGGTTCAGAGTACTGGGCTCTGGTGATTTTTCTGCTTCTTGGTGTGCTGAACGCTTAGCTCTCAAAGGACTTAGTGGATCATCATTACCCTGAAGGAGGAAAGGGGATGAAGTAGGAAAGGGTAGAGGTAGGATTTCTTACTTTCAATCATACTGCTCCGGAGCATGGGAGGGGGGAAGGATGCATTCTCTGAATGAGGGGAATGTAGTGGGTTAGTGTCTGCCTCAAGATACATGTTCAACCAGACTTCTACATGTGACCTTATTTAGAAATAGGGTCTTTGCAGATGTAATTAAGATGAAGTCATTCAGGATTGGGGTGGGCTTTGACCCCGATGACTGGTGATCTTATAACAAATAAGCTGCTCAGAGGACACACAGAGAGAAGACCCTTTGAAGATGGAGGCAGAGATTGGATGATGCAGCCATAAGCCAAGGACACCAAGGATTGATGGGAGCCACAGAAGCTTGGAAGAGACAAGGAAGGAATTTCCTCTAGAGCCTTCGGAGGAGCATGAGACCCCGCCTACACCTTGATTTTGGGTTTTAGCCTCCTAAACTGTTGTCTTTAGCTGTCCCCTTATCACAGAAGCCCCAGGAAAGCAATGCAGGGAAACACTTACCACTTGTGGCAGATGTTGTGGCCTGGAGCAAGGTCAGGGAAGCTAGGAGGGCTGGGAAGTGGAGAAGGACCCTCATCACTGAAATGAGATCCAGGATCATGCTTTGAGTCTCGTAGAACCTCTGTGGGGGAGGCAGGAGGGTGTGAGTCACAGAAAGGGCATTGTAAAACAGACAAAGTCCAGGGAACACTAAGTGCCCTTACTTTGGAACAGAGAAGGGGAAACCACATAACTAGTCACGCATCTATCATGTGCAGACCACTGCTCGGAAACTTGGGAGAGGCAGTGATGGAAGGGAAAGAACTTAGTTTTGGAGTCAGAGGTAGTTCTGCATTTGCTCTAACCAGCGCCGTGACGTAGCACCAGTTATTTCTCACCTCTGGGCCCTGGCCTACCAAGTGAGGGTAGACCAGGTGATGCCAATGTCCGACTCTGCCCTGCCCTGACAGGTTTTTTTTCCCCATGAAGGGCTTTGGGGCTTAGAACGTTCCTTAGGTTTGGCGAAGTAAACCCAGAATATTTTTTGATAGCTCCCGACCACAGAGGTGATGTGTAGATAGAAGGATGGTGTATTTGAACTACACTCTTGACAGTCCTCTCGGCTTTCACAAGAAGGCACAGGTTCTCCCCTCAGCGTGGATTTCACTGGTTGAACTTCAGAAACACACCAGGGAGATCAACCTTGGTATCTACCCAAGCTCCCTGACAGAAATTGTGGGACTGGAGCTTGGCCTGAGAGCGCACTGGGCAGTCTTCCAGACACCCTTGGACAAGACCAGCCCAGAAGACAGCTGTGCATCTGGATCAGGTAATTGGAGCCTCCTTCATGTACCCCCAGTCCTTCCCTCTGCCTGTTTATAATCCCCCTAAGAATGTTTACCTTGTTGAATGTTACCTTTTTGTACACTAACTCTAGAACAAAAGGCAAAGAATGAACAAATACCTCTTTGGCCAAGATTTTCCCTGGCACTTTGCACCCCCACCCTCACCCCAAGAGAAGTTCTCAAGTGGCTTGACACCTCAGTGGCCTCTGACCTTACACCTCAGTGGCTCGGAGGCAAGCCCTACTCCTCTCCTCCTCGCCCCCCTTTCTTTATGACTCAGGAAGACCATTGAGCTAGCAGAAATCTGCCCTTTCAGGCAAACAAATATAATGGTTTGGGAGCAAAAAGTGCCACTGATGTTTTTTTAAACTGTGGTTAAAACACGAAGCACGAAATTTACTGTCTCAGCCATTTTTAGCCATTGCAGTACAGTATTGATAACTATATTCATATGGTTACTCAGCAGAACTCAGAACTTTTTCATCTTGCAAAATGGAAACTTTGCACCCACTAAACACCAACTCCCCATTTTCCCTGCCCCCAACCCCTGGTAACCATATCAGTGATTTTTAAAGAGGCCTTGAAGGTACACAGATATTCATTATACTGTTCTTTTAACGATTAATGTGTTTCATAACAATCAAAAAACAAAATTAAAAGGCCAGTCTATAGAAAAAGAGACATCATCTAAGATAGACTGAGGAAGAAAAATATAGTCAAGTACAGGAAAGCTGGAAAATCTGAACAAGAAAAATACTCATTTCTCCTCTCCTTTCCTCAGAATCCCCTTCATGGCAAGTGGGGTGCCAGGTGAGAGGGGACTCAGGACCAAATTAAATTATTCTCCATGTCTCCGCCAACCTTCCTGGTCAGTGTGAAGGAAGAATGTGGTGGGAGAGAAGCAGATCCAGGCAAACATGAGGCCATGCCACTGGTAGAGGGGTATGAAAAAGGGGAAACAGTTTCTGCAGCCAGAGGCACAGAACAAAGGACATGGGCTTCAGAGTGTAAGAGGCCAACAAGGGGTCTCTGTGGTGTTTAGATATTCACCCACATCCTTGTCATGCTCAGTGCAAAAACCCCTTTCCTAGTTCTTCAGTTTGCAGTAAAATGTGGAGCTTTCCCTGGAGATGAACCCCTGAATAGAAGCAGAGCCACAGCCTTTGCCCCTCAATTGCCAGGCTGGCCCACAATCCCATGCTTCTATTCACATCTTTCCTATGTAATGCCCTTTCTGCTTGGTAGACTCCTATTCATTCTTCAAAACCCAGGCCAAATGGCAACCTCCTCTGTGAAGTTTACCAGATTTCTCTAGATAAAGCCGAATCATTCCTTTTCTGTACTCTCAAAGCACTTTACTCATGTGTCACTATTTCATCTTTGTTTCCCCCACATCAGCGCTCTATCTTATTTGTTTCTGTTTTTCCTGTGCCCAAGCCTAGTGCTGGATCATGGTAGATGTTGAATACACGCTGAGTGAATTCAATTCCTAGAGCAAAGAAGTTCAGCCTCTGGAGGTCCAGAGAGAGAGGGTGATGATGGTCACTTAGCAGGTTTCCCACGTATCAGTGTGAGAATTCACTAATCACCTGAAAACTGTTAAATGAAGATTCTGACTAAGGGAGCCTCATGAGTCTGCATTTCCACTCCAGGTGATGCCGGTGCTTCTGATCTGCAGACCACACTCTGAGCACCGGAGTCTGGCTCTCATGCTTGCTGAGAAATCACCAAGGAGTCACCAGGAAGGTCTGAGCAGGGAAGGAAGCAGTGAGAATCTTTTCCATGAATGGCAGTGTGGTAAGATGAACCAGCAGGAAACACCCAATCAGCCCAAGAATGCTCAATTTGATTTTTTTCAGTAGCTCCAGAATTAAGAGGAGAATGGGATGGGGCAGTGGGATTTAGCTCTTATCAAGCCTTTTACTGCAGAATCAATCTTCCACCTAAGTCCCACGGCTTGGAATACCCAATAACAGAAAGATCAATAGGATGCAGCCACTCAACACCCCCAAATGAAGCCCATCTAATATTGCTGCAATCTGTGCACTCTATTGAGAGCCAAGTGCCCACAGGGCTTTGGAGGCAACTGGGACTAGACATTCAGGGCCAACCAGGTGTTCAGATCTGCTGTAGATAGCAGGTCTAAGATGCTGCAAACAAGGTGGAGATCTTAGTGCCTTTGCTTAGGGAACCCCTCGAAAGACTGCAAAGTTTTCACTGCTGTGAAGAGGTCATATGTATCACCTGAGTCTCAACACCACTGACCTGCCACCATGGCAGCCGAATCTGTCACAAAAAAATGCCCAGTGGCGACAAGTCCAAACCTAGTACAAAGATTTCGAGAAGTCTTTAGGAAATGTCATCATAAACATTGTATAAACCAGGAAAGATGCAGTGAAAGTGGTGTATCTTACCTGCCAAGTACCTTGGCCTTCTGCTTGGTAGCTGCAGGGAACTTGCTCTGCTTGGAGGTGCCTTTATGCCTGCGGCCAAGACTTTATTTCTGGGAAAGGTACACAAGCAAAGACTTTGAGGGGCTGATGTGGGTTGGAGGAGACACTCAGGTTCAGCAGGAAACACCCTATGACTTCAGCAGCTGAACACGGGAAACTACAGAATGGCAAGGATTGGCTGATGCAACATCACTGATTGGATGAGGCCATGGCTGTTCCCCCCATTTTCCAGGTTAGGTGCACAATCCTGCTTTGTCAAAACTCCAGTCCCTGACCAGGCTTGTCTTTGTTAGGCCCCTAATGGGATCCAAATAGCTCTTAAATGAGAAGCTATTAAATGTCCCTCTTCCCCATTCACCACTCACTGTACTTTGCTCCCTCACTTGTGTTTCACCTAATCCACTTGCAAGCCAGTGGATTTATCTTTCAGATTTAAGGTGGTTCAAAAACATTAACTTTTAGGGGGATCAAAATGTCTAGGTACTGCCCTTTTTTGGCCACCAGATAGATGACTAGGGTCCTGGACTTGTCAGGGTGCGAGGTGAAGTCCCTCCTTTGTCACTTTAGGGCCCTGGGCAAGTCACTTCACCTTCTGGTGCCTCATATTCCTTAGTTATAAAATTGATTGTTGGTTTAGATGATTCTTAGGAGATTCTACCATGCCTTATGTATAGTGGTCCATTAAAAAACAGGGATATCTGGGAAATTATTGAGTTAAAGCCCAAATATAATGTCACATACCATCCTTCCCTCAGTGACTTTGAAAATTCAAGTTCATTAGAGCCATACAGGAAGGAAACAAAGTTTCAGAGAAAACCAAATTGCACAAATGTGAAATTCTTTCAGACAATTTAAATCATAAGCCTTTATGTAAAATTATACTTTGGGTTGAAAATATTCTGTGAGACTCTTCGAAAGTCTTGAAACAAAAACCACCCCCCTGCATTTACCTTCCAAAAAGTGATATCCCTTTTCTCCGGCTGATGAAATGTACTTAGAAGCTTCTTTTCTTGTGATGAATCCAGGCAAAATGAACTGGGTGTCTCAGAAGGCAGCTATCCCGGAAAGGTGAGTGAGGGACTTATGGTTCTTCTTGTTTCCTTTGGAAGAAAATTTTGTTCCCCAGCCAAGCATTGTTTTGCTTTGTCTAGTCATCCCCTGAATTTTGGAGCATGCTTCTCAAGGCTCTCGCCAAGACCCAAATTTCATGGAACTTGACCTAGTTGGTTCTGAATGGTTTCAAGATAGAATTTCCATCTGGAAGACCCTGCTGGGTATCACTCCCTTTATGTATGTAATATACAGTGAGCTTCAGGGGTGTGTGTAAAAGCGAAATGCAGGTCTTACTGTCCCTGGGTCTTGATCATGTTATGACATGATGTGATATGTCCTGTGTTTGACCTTTTTGTAATGGGCAGAAAGCTAAAAAGTCCAACAGATTCTCATGTATCAGTGCATAGATTTCAAGATATTTTAGTAATAGCAACAGAGAGTACCCAAGGAATTTTATCACTGTTACATGGTATACACACACACACACACACACATACACACACACACACACACTTTTTCCAGGAACACGCAATGTATAAATGAGGCTGACCTCAGACATGGCCCGCTTTCCACTCTCCCCTGCAGGAAGTAGAATTTTGCATGTTGCACACACAATCTTTGGATGATACAAGGGACACTCATGGTCAGTAACAAAGCAACATCTCTGTTTGTGTAAGGGTATTGTAGCTCGCGCTCTGGGTGATGGCTTCCTAGCCATTCTCATCATTCCAGGCGCCATATTCCTTGGAGACTAGCCAGTTCCTTCTTCAGCTGTTTTCACCCATCTTCCACTGCCTTGGCTGTCATTCACAGTTGGATGGTTTTGTTGGTTTTTTTTTTTTTTCTTTCCTGGCTAAAATGCATTTCCTCTTGTTGTTTTCCCAGAATACCAAGCAAATATACTTCTTGTCCATATGCCATGGCTCCATATGCCAATGTTTACTCTTCTGGGGACTCATCCACTTGTTCTGCTCTAGAGGAAGGAAGAACACAGGTGTTCTGATAAAGCCATCCTGTCCCCTGGAGGGGTATGGGGTTAATAAAATTTTTCTTAATGGTGCCCCTGGTAATAGAAACATTAGCCAAGAAGCCCCCTTCACAGTGAGCAGGGGTTTGTGGAAGAGAAAAATAATATCTGGGATGATATTTGCATCTTCCTCAGCAGATAGGAAGAGGGTCCACTGTATTCTCTAAATATTTTTTAGTGGGCTATTCATCATTGTAGGGTGGCTTCTAAGGTTGGCATAACATTACAGGCTTGAGTGGCAAAACTACACACTTCCAGAGGATTGTTAGATTTAACAATGAGATTTTCCAATTAGTCACAGTATGTTGGGACTGAAGGACCAAGTCTTGTTCAAGGCTCCCCACTCCACCCCAAAACCAGACCAGCCAGGCAGGCAGAGGGACTTCCCAAGAACCACCCTGATGGAGTGGGTAGAGGGAATTCCCAAGAACCATCTGGTGGGATGGGCAGAATGCTGTCCTTCTCTTCATCAATTGACAGTCCCTTTTTTTGGTCAAGGCCATTCTTCCATTTCCATTAACATTGCATCTCACCTTCCTTTCTTTTATCTCCTGCTTAGATATTTATTGAGTACTTAATATTATGTGCTTCCTGGTTTTTCCTTTTTTTTTACTTCTACTTCTCTTTCTTCCCAGTTAGCTTACAAATTATGAATGTCGGTAAGTTTGCTTAAAATGAAAAAGGTGTCAGATGTGTTCTCTATGTTTGCAGGGAAATGAAAGATAGGGCTGGGAAAGATCTCTGGCCGCAGAGATTAAGAGGCCCACCTTAATCTAAGTAGCTGGGCCCCCTGCACTGATAACCTCACTGTTAGCGTCCCCTGTCCAAACCCTAGAATTTCCCCTTGAATTCCAGCCCAGGACCCTGGGCACTGTAACTCCTGATAATTTAAGAGAGCCCAGTACAATTCAAAACATTACAGCTGAGAAATTCTTCAGGCTGCCTGAGCCTGGGTCATCTCAGGAAGCTTACAGGTTAGTGCAGCAAAAGACATGAAAAGACAATTGTTTATTTATTGAGCAAGTGTTTGCCACTGGGCACTTAAGTTCTGGGAATGTCTTAGGACTAAGAATAGACACAATTTTTGCCTTTAGAGTTAAATGCAAATTTTAAAAAATCAGGGGGCCTCCTTGATTTTTAGGGGTTATGTCTCAGTGCTGTCATTGCTACAGCCTGGGTTTAATCCCTGGCCAGGGAGTTGACCCACAGATGGTGCGGCAGACCTCTTCTGTCTCACCCACTGCTCCCTTTAGCAGTGTGTTTTAGTAGATTCGCTTGTTCTGCTCCCCAGTCTGTCTCTGGTGAATCCTCTCACCCTCCCACGCATCTGGCCTGTACCCCAGTTCTTGTATTCATGAATAAATAAATCTAAAAAAAGAAAAAAAAGAAAGTTGACCAAGATATGCGTAAGATGGCCATGACCACAGTGGAATGGAAACCCCTTTCCAGGGCACAGGGACACTACTCTGAGTCCAGGAAGGGGGACGGGCAGTCATGGTGACTGGCAATAATGACTGACACTGACCTCTCATCAGCAATTATTCACACAAAAGTACAATACAATTAGAATAGATGTAACATATATCCAATCTCCCACTATCCAGTTTTGTGTTGGCTATTTCCTCTGCCTGGGATGCTCATTCTCCAGATATCCATATGGTTTGTTCCCTGTTGATCTTTAAATATTTAAATATTTAAATATTTCAGTCTCAATGAGTATTTTCTGATTTCCCTTTTCCTACAATTCTTATCACCCTTCCTTGCTTTGTTTTTCTTCATGGAACTGACTGCTCTGTATGATACCATGTTTTACTTTGTTATTTGTTTTCTATCTATTTACCTTAACCATAAAGTAAATTCCAGAATTTAGAGAGGGAGGAGCTATAGAAGCCAATATCATCAATGTTCTGCTATTTGGTATACTCCTGCTGTTCCAAGTCTTGACTTGTCGCTGAAGACCTGGCCTAACCTGTTGAGACACACTAGGTAGAATAGGGCTGCCCAAGATAAAAGGAATTAATTATAAGCTGAGAATGTTTCTTGGGAAAAAACATTTGAAATCTGCCTGGGTCATAGAGAAAAACTGCTTTAGAGCCTAACCTATTTTATCCTGCTGTGGACTACTGATAACATCTGTGTTGTAATACCCTGCAGCCCCACCTATTCTGCCTGTTGGCACAATGCCTGGAAGGAGCTGGATAAAGGTGGGGATGCTTACACTCTTGCTGCCCCAAATAAGTTGGGCTTAGCCCCATTTCCATCTAGTGTTTCTGGTAATCACCTCCCCCAAACAGAGTGCTACAAGTACGTGCCCTGCCCAGGTCCCCTCAACTAGCTTCTAAGCATTTTGACTGTCAAAGGCTCTGACTTGCACCCATGTCAGGACTGCTCCGGGTTTATGGGAGGTACTTAGCCCAGAGATGCCTAAGAGGTTCCATTCTGCTTCATCCAGGGAATCATTCAATACTCCCAGGAGCTCTGATTCTCAGTAATAGAGAATGGTAGTTAGAAACCAAGGTCTGGGTCCTGGGAGTGCTCATTTCTCCTGGGAGTGACTGATTCTAGGCAGTCTCCACGAACAGAGCTTGGAACTATATGTATGGATAGTAAGTAGCGCATGCATGCATACATATCTAAATTCATTTCTGACTCTACCTTATACATATTTAAAAAATACTCATGAGATTAATTGTTAACTCCAACTCTGATCTTGCACCACAGGGTGCATTCTTGCATTTGTATCTTGCATTATTTGTAATTTCTCAGTGACAAACATGGATCTGATTATCTATAATATATTTAACTGTTAAACACCAATAATCATATAAAATAGTTTTAGAATTGCTAACCTATACTCCCCTGAGAAACAAATTTACTACCAAATGTACAGTATTTGCAGTTGGTTCTTTTTGTCTTTAGCTTCCAGTTTCCAATCAAAGCACTGCTTTCTAAAGCTATTTATGTTGGCTCCTTCCTTTCTCACTCTCTTCCATGTGAATCATTTGTAATACTGATTCCTTTTGTCATACTCTGCATTCTATTTTAGGTATCTCTCACAACCTGGCAAACAGCTTACAATTTATATCCAGTACAATCCACTTATTGTGATGCATAAGCTGCATAGGTTGTATACTTCCAGCTCCACAGTTCCAGGTAGACAGTCTCATCCCCCCACATTCCCTCACATTGGCTCCTTTATACTCACCCCCTCTTCCCAAACCCAACTCCAGGCAACCACTGATCTATGTTCTATCTCTAGTTTTTCTTTGTTCTAGAATATCATATAAAAGAAACCAGATTGTAGTCTTTTGTGTCTTTCACTTAGCATAAGGATTTTTGAGATTCATCCATGCAGTTTTACTTTGTTTTTATTGTGGAGTAGTATTCTAGTGTATAGAATTTGTTGAAATATTTACATGTTGGTAGACATCTAGCCTGGTAGTTTTTGTCCTTCTAGGAATTTATTTCCTTGAGACTATTTATTGGTATGCAGTTGTTCATAGTAATCCCTCTTAATCCTTATTTCTATAAAGTCAGTAGTAATGTCCCCTATTTCGTTCTTGAATTATGGAGTAAACTGGTAGGTGGGAGGTTGAGAGAGAGGCAGAGCCAATATTCATTCACATTTCAAAAGACAGATGAGCTAGAATCCAAGTACCTTTACCAATTACTAGAATTGAACTTCAGCCAACCCTTAAGCAAGTCCTGGCCTTCACTAACTTAATCAATTAAATAGAAATAACTATACTTATTAAAAGATTTCTATGAAGATTAGGGACAATGCAAACAAAGCACCCATGCTGTATTAGATCCTAAATAAATGGTGCCATTATTATGGTAAATTCTTGGTATTTCACAACAGCAGCTGTGTTGCCCAGGGCACTTGATGCCATATAATCACACTGGCATGAGATCCCTGGGTTCAGAGGACAATTGCTTACTCTGTTGAGGGAGTAGCAAGTGTCAAAAGCTGTAACTGCTGACACAGGCAAGGTTAAGGGACCAAGACTCCAGATTATCGTGTGTTGTGCCTTTGACAGCAGGCGGTTCAACAAAGCATGACTTCTGAAAGGCACTTTGTTCGCTTTTCAGGAGACCAGTATAATACATAAGACCTTAAAAATACAGAACTAACAAATACATGGGAAAAACCAGTTTCCTTCTTTACTGTTAGCTTCCTTGTTTTTTTGTTCCTGGTTCAGTGAATTACCAACAGGACTAATAAATCTACTGATAGTTTTCTTTCTTCCAAGAGTATATTTTCACTTCTGAGTATGTTCCATCACCTTCCCTGGCTCCCTTGAGAAGAATGGGTGCATCCTGAGAATCATGTTCACTGATTCCCAGACCAGTTTCAAAGCATTCAGTGGAAGGAGGTGAGTTGGGAAAAGGCACTTGTGAACTAGGGCCACCTGGTCTGGTCCCCATCACCATTTCTTTCTTTCTTTTTTTAAGATTTATTTATTTATACAAGATCTGGGGTACAGGTCAGAGCCGCGGGAGGGTGAGAGGATTCACCAGAGACAGAGCGGGAAGCAGAACAGGCAGACGGACCAAAGACACTGCTAAGCGGAGCAGCAAGCGCGACAAGAAAGGTCTGCCACACCATGGTGGTTTCTCCCTGGCCGGCCCGGACTCGAACCCGCGCTGCAGAGGCTGTGGACAGCTTCACAGGACTGCGCTCAACCCGCTGCGCCACTGGGGAGTCCCCCCATCACCATTTCTGAGTCCACATGAAAGGAACCCCAAAACTCTGTCTCAGTTCCCTCATTTGTAAAGTGCATGAAGTCCGGCCTCGCGTGCGAGAGTTTTTTCGCACACGTGTGAGCGGCGACGCAGCGTGGAGGCCGCGTCCCGGGCGGGCGCTGACGCCGGGTCCGCACCGGGCCGCGCAGGAGAGCCGCGGGGCGAACGCATCGCTGCGCGCGCAGCCTCCGCCGTCTCCGGAGCCCAGCGTCGCCGTTGCCAGGGGAACCGGGGGCGGAGCGCTTCCCGGCGCAGTCTGCGCGCGCCGCGGCTGTCATGGCGGAGAACGTCTGGAGTGCGGACACCGGGGAGGCAGTTTATCGCTCCCGGGACCCTGTGCGCAATCTGCGCATCCGGTAGTCGCGTCGCCCAGCCCCGAGCGCCGTGTTCTTACGCCCTCAGCTGACTCCAGCCTGAACTTCACTGCTCAGTGCTCTGCGGCCCCTACTTCCGCTTACAACTTTGACCGCTGCCTCCGGGTCTCCCCGCATCGCCCACTCCCGCACTACCTGGCACCCTCTCACTCGCACAGCTTCAGGCCCACCCAAGCCCTAGCGAGTCCCCGCCCCTCCCAAATTCCTAGGAGCTGTGTTACCTGCACGCTCTCTCATCCTCGCTCTATGCCCCGCTTGCACCCCTTCAGTTGCCGGCACCCCTTCCATCTTGGCAGGCCCCTCCTTTTCTGTGTATATATCCCCCCACTCCCATCTTTGTTCAGTGTTCACCTCCTGGTGTGTCTCTAATGAGAATTTTGGGCTTCTCTTTTCCTGATAGAGTCCACCTGCAAAGAATCACATCTAGCAACTTTCTCCATTACCAGCCTGGAGCCCAGCCCGGGAAGGACCTCATAGACTTGGCCACTTTTAGGCCTCACCCAAGCGCCAGTAGGTGGTGATGTGACCCCTGGAGGACCTGGGGAAATGCCTGGGGTGGTAGTTATCTCTTAAGACAAGACAGAGTCCATCCTGGTCTGGAGTCTGAGAAAAGGCATAGAGAGGTTGGGTTCCTTGCCCAGTCACATGACTGGTGGATGTTGATGCCAAGGATTTGATGCCAGAAAATTTTAACTGCTATGTTAAAATTATGTTGTGTAGAAAAATTGAATAAGATATGACTCGTGCCATCAAGATATTGATCTGAATTGTGGTCAAATGAGCTGAAATAACAAATGCCATGCTTTAGTTATATTATAACTTTGCCTGGCAACCTAAGCTGTTTGTGGCATTTTTCCCCCTAAGGGAAAATGTGTTCCAACCTCTAAATAAACACATCAACGCTTTTAAAAGCAATTTTAAAATTGGGCTTGCAAAATGTACGTATTAGCACCATCTGTGCTCTTATGGTTTTCCATATTATAGAAAAGCAAGGAAGAGAGGACAGTGTGCTTGTGTTAGGTCACTAGTTTCTGATTTTGTTGTTTGTGTTCAAAAATATTTCTGGGCGAGAGTGGGCTGGTGGGTGTGAAACATGTGTCTCTGAAAAAGGCATATTCAGTCAGGAGTGTGTTAGCTTTGTTTCTTTAAAAAAATCGTTTATTTGCCTTTCCTCTTCTCTCCTGATTCTTGGTCTCCTAAAATTATAGTGTTTGTGATTCTAGATGTATGGCTTCAGGAATAGAGAAGATAAAAATGTCAGGGTTCCTTTCTAGCAAATGAGATTGAGGAAGCCCTGTTCAGCTTATTTATAAATTTCAGTTCCTGATACTGAATTAGATTAAATAATTGCTGGAAGGCATGGATTCCTTATATTCAAATTAGGGTAGTGACTAAAACTTCTTGGGTTTTAATCCTGCCTTCTATATATCTCCACAGCCTGTCTAATCTTTGTCTAGAGTGAGTCCTTAATAAATAGCTATCCATTTGGTTCTGTGGCAAATATAAGAGCAGGGTCTGTGGCTATAACCAACCACAAAACAAAAAGTTGTGCTAGTTTGGCTTAAACATCTGACTCACTTTGTGGTCTCTGGAGGTGGACACCGCCCAGATGAAGATGAAGAGGAGGAGGTGGTGATTGGGTGGCAGGAGAAACTCTTTAGCCAGGTAAGCCAATGTCCCTTTTCTGCCCAACCTACCACCTGACTGTTGATAGGGAAAGATTCTTGATACATATTGCCAAACTGATTCCATAAACATTGTAGCAGTTTTTACTTGCTCTGTAGTGTTACAGGGAAAATACAAAATTGTGCCTATAGTTACCCAGCTTTATGATCCTGGGTAGGGCATTTTTCACCTCCAGGGCACATGCCATGTGAAACAGCAAAGTTGGATTAGACCATGCCTCTGGTTCCCTCTAGATCTAACATTCTTTGTCTCCCCTGCCTTTTCATCAGTTTAGAGAAATGAGATTTGACCATAAAAAAATGTCATTGGTATCAGCTATACAGAGCTGATGTAATCAAACAAGTATAAGAACAAAAAAGCTTGACATAGTCTCAGTAGATCTGTTTCCTTGTGGCCTCAGTTTGAAGTAGATCTGTACCAAAATGAAACAGCCTGTCAGAACCCTTTGGATCATCAGTACCGCCAAGAGATCCTAAAACTGGAGGATTCACATGGCAGGAAGAACCGACGGATCTTTACCTACACCGATTCTGATAGATACACCAATTTGGAGGAGGTATTGTGCTTTCTGAGACCCAAAAACTTCCTTCCCCTCTACCTCCCTGTGTTTTCTGGTTGGTTCTATGTGTTAAATCAAATAACTATTACGGGGAAACTAAGTGCCTGTCTAGAAACTGCACTGTGCTGTTGGCAGCCAGGCTGGAGTGGAGTGGGCATATCTGCGGTGGTGTGGCTGCTGGAGGGCCTAGGGGAGCTGGCAGTGTAGTGTCCCTAGGTTTGCAGCCACCCAACTGGGAGAAGCTGCCCCTGGGCTTGACTTCCTTCAGGCATCATGACATGAGACAGGTGGGTGGAGTCTAGTACCATCTAGATAAAAATCATCAAGGCATTCAGCCAAAACTCTGAGTGTGTAGGTTTGATGAGGAATTCAAACCCATGCAGCTGTGAGAATGGCTGTGTCCTCAACTGTGCCAGAATACTCTTATGGACTTGTCTTATTTTTTCTTCAGTTGCTGCCTAATAAGTTCTATCTGCCCAGTCCTTGAGGGAGTTTGGTTTTTGTCTGTGACCTTGTACACCTCTGCAAGGAGCAGGCGACAAGTGTTTTTGAAAGATTGATGTTTATATTAGGAAAGCTGTGAGTTACTGTCGTATAAAATCTGGGTAGTCTGTTTTGGAAAAATAAATAAAATGACAGTTAGTGCTCAGTTACCCATGTGAGGACTTTCCATAGAATACTGCTAGCCCATTTGGCGTCTCCCAGCTAGCTAGATAATGTTGCTGTCTACTAGCCAAACACATCCAGCTTTTTGGTCGATAAGCACTCAGAGATTGCCGACTCATTTTAATATAAGTTTAGTTTAGGGCAAACTAAGGTATGGTAGCAATCTTCTTTGGGTTGTTTGTGCCACTGCTGCCCTCATTGGCATGTGTAGTTGTGAACTGGCTGTATGTACCTTTTAGCTTCAGGTCTGAATGAGGTTTCAAAGGAAGACTTCCCTTCAGGTGCTTGGTGCCACGTGGCACTGACCAAGCAGGTTACAGGAAACTGCTCTCTCTTCCCAGCACTGTCAGAAAATGACCACGGCAACTGATGAGGTGCCCTCATTCTTGGTCGAGCGAATGGCCAATGTCAGGCGGCGACGCCAGGACAGGCGAGGGATGTGAGTCAGGTTGTATGGGAGCTGTGGGGAGTTTTGTGTTCCTTCCGTGGCCCTGTTCTCGGTGTGCACACAATTCAAGCTTCCCACTCTGCAGTAGGCCTCTACCTGGGTGCTCCCCTGTGTTCCTCTTCAGGGGGTGCCAGGGAACTGACCCTTCCTGTGGTGTCTCCCAGGGAGGGTGGCATCCTCAAGTCACGAATCGTCACCTGGGAACCCTCAGAAGAGTTCGTCAGGAACAACCATGTCATCAACACCCCTCTCCAGACGATGTACATCATGGCAGACCTGGGGCCCTCCGGAAAGTGAGCAAAGCTTCTCATTACCTGCTGCAGGCCCTCATCCTCTTCTCCTCTCATAACCAGCACCTACCTGTTAGGTCCTCCCAGTCTATTCTTTTTATTTTTCATAGTTGTCTTCAAAAGAGCCCTGATAATTCTCACTCCAGCCTCTGTTCTCTCCTCTGACGTGAGCTGACTACCTCTTCCTTTTCCCTGGAGACAGGACCTGCACTCCTAAACTTTGGTGCTGGTTTCCTGGTTTCTAGGCTTGGTTATAAGGCATATGAACATGTCCTCTGTACTCTGAAGGTGGACAGCAATGGTGTGATCACAGTAAAACCTGACTTCACTGGCCTCAAAGGACCCTACAGGTGAGGAGAAACACAGGAGTAGTGGAGGCTGGCATTCCTTCCCTTGGCTTCACTTCCTGCCCCTAGTTGCAGATTCTCAGGAAGCCCTTCATCTGTTCTAACTTTCAAATTCCCAGCAATGAGTCATATTCTATTCTGGGTCATAGACCACTAGGATTTTGAGGATCCTGTTCTCAGAAAATATGCACCTATACCAATCTGAAAGTATAACTCAGGTGTAGAGTTAAATGAGAATAATTCCCTGTGCTCACTACAGGGACTCACCAGAACAGGGGAACATGAGCTCAGCCAGGACTCCTCTGGGCTGACTGTCCCTCATCGCTAGCTCTTAGAATAACAGAATTGTAAATTAGACATGATCTAAGCCGACCTGTCCATTTTTCAGATAAGACAACTAGGTGTCCAGGATGTTGTGCTTTAGGGTTTCACCATGACTTGGAGGTGGAAAGGGGCCCAGAACCTGTACTTTGTGAGTCTAGTCTGGTGCCTCTCAGCTTTATCATTTTGTTTTGCTCTCCTGGTTGTCGCTCTGGCCTTTTTGTTGTCGTGTATGGTGAGTGAGGTGTGTGGCCAATAGTGGCTCATCCCTGGGCCATGTCTGGAGAGTCGGATCTTTCATTATCAGCGTTGGCTCTTTTGTGGCTTGGATCTTGCAGAATCGAGACTGAGGGGGAGAAGCAGGAACTGTGGAAGTATACGATAGACAACGTGTCCTCCCTCGCACAGCCAGAGGAGGAGGAGCGGGAACAGCGCATGTTCAAGGATGTAAGATCCAGCTTAGTCCACATACCAAAGGGACCAGCCCCGCAATGGGGCATGAGACCAACGCATGAGGTTGATGACAGCAGTCACAGGGCCTCTCCTGACTCGGGAAGCACTGCTGACATAGCGAGTTATTGATCCCATGATAACATAATAACAACAACAGTGACCATTTATTCGAGTGTTTTCTGTGCTCTGTGCTAGGCCTCTCACTTTATTTCAGTTAGACTGTACAGCAACCCTTTGAGGTGAATACTTTTACTATTACCATTTTATAACTGAAGAAACTGGAACAGAAGTAAGCAGTCTGCCCGAGGCCACAGAGTTTGTGAGTGAGAGTCGTGATTTGGGCCCAGACCGGCAGACTCCAGTGCCTTTGAGCTTCACTTTAAATGACCCAGAGGCCATATTCCCAGCTCTCTGCTCCCGGCAGCTCTCTGCAGCATTTCCCATCACTGATGCTGCTTTTTTCCCTCTCATGCAGCACTGAACTGTGGCCTGGCTTGGGCCACTTGTTGAGTTTCGGTTTGGTTTGTCTCCTCAGCTTTATGGTCGGCACAAGGAGTATCTCAGCAGCCTCGTGGGCACTGACTTTGAGATGGTGAGTAGCTGGGCTTCCCTCTGCAAACTGGGTTTAGCCAGAGTGTGCCGACTATGGCTATAACAACACCTCTCTTTGAAGGTCCCCGTAATGGACTCTTGGGTGTAAAAAGGAAGTAAATTAATAGCCTGTATAATTCCTGTTAAGTGTTTTAAAACATTGTGCATCAATCCAGCATTGTGCACACAAAAGGTCTGGGTTGCATGCGTGCTGTGGGGGGCTTTCTCCCGGGACAGGATCGGGCAGTGGGATGGGACATGGGCCTTGGAGATACGGTGAGAGAGGGCAGGGATTTTTATTCTTAGTCTCTAAAGTTAAGTAATTTTGAATTTTTATCATTGATAATACATTCGTGTTTTACTTTATAATTAAATAATAAATGTAAAGATGAAACATGACCTCCTTACTCTTCATGTGGCTAGTTTTCCTAAGGGAAGAGGTGTCATTTCCATTTGTCAAATAGTTTGCTTCTTAAAATAAACAACAAAGCAAGATAGTTTAGGTCAGTTTTGTGGTCCTGCTCTTTGTGTCTCTCATGCCAGGCATTCCATTTCTGTGTAGATTTGGAAAGAAAAATAGAATTAGCCGGTGGTTTCCCTCTCAAAAAAAATTAACTCCCATTATTTTTATGTTGTATTAGCAACAGATGGTCAGTGTTGAAAAGTTAGAGAAGATAAATACACAAGTAGTTAAAAAAGGAAATTCCCTATTGTCTTGATTTTGGCCATCTAAAGGCATGGGGTCTCCAGCTTCCCACTGTACCCCGGAGGGCAGCTCTTGTTGTGCCCCTTGGCTATTCCTGTAAATTTCCCATACTGTGTTGCCCTCCCTGCCATTTAAATTACTTACTTTTCTTCTATGTTACAACCTTTAGAAACAAAGCAAACAGACCTGAGGAACATGGCCGGGTGGGGAGGAAGAACGAGAATGACCCCCCAGGATCTGACTTTCAGTGTCGGGTCTTCTGGGGATTGTATATGGGTTGCAGGAGAAGTGCTTGTTTCCTCCAGGCCTCCCAGTCTTATCCCACTTATCTTCTTTCTACCTTAGACCGTCCCAGGTGCCCTGCGACTCTTTGTAAATGGAGAAGTAGGTAAGTGTCTTGCCTTACAGAGATCTTGTGTTGCTTGGGCTGTGGCCACACAGCTGTGAAGTGGCCCACCCCTCCCCAGTGGAGACCTTGGGTTGTCTGCAGTACTCGGGAATCTCAGCTGTGAGTCTTTCCTGGAAACACAGCGAGTTCTTGGCTCTCCAGGAACTTGCTTCTGGAAGTGTGTAGGCCCTTCAGGACTGGGGGTGAGATGGGTGGGGGTGAGATGGGTGGGGGTGGAGGTGGACGGAGGGTAACAGGAGAGTAAGTTGTAATGTGTCTTGTTCTCTCTCTTAGTTTCAGCCCAAGGCTATGAGTATGATAATCTCTATGTCCACTTCTTTGTGGAATTACCAGCTACTAGTAAGTAATATTTATAAATCTCTCTTTTTATACCCATTCTGATAGTTTTCTGGAGGCATTTGGCTAGGCTTCCTTTCCCGCTCTTCCCCTAGGACTGTTACTGTTCTCTTCAGTCTCATAGATCACTGCCAGATTGTCAATTTCTGTGGTGACTTTTCTGCTGTCACCTCATTTGGCCTCTCAGAAGCAGTTGGCAAAACTCACTTTTCCTCACTGAAGCGCTTCTCCTGGCTCCACGCTCTACTTTTCTCTGTTTGGTGGCTCCTCAGCCTCCTTGGCTGATTCCTCATCTCCTGTTGATCTTGAACTATTAGATTACCCAAGGCTGGACCTGGGCCTTCTGTTCCTCTTTCTTCATAGTCTTCCTATGTGGTTTCATCCATCCTGTGATTCGAATACTGTTTCCAAGTCTCAGATTCCCAGACTTCTCTCTCTAGCCTTCACCTGTCTCTAAACTCTAGACTTATATCTAATTACCCCTTTGTCATTTCTGCTTAACAAGAATTAAAAAACTCTTGGTTTCCCCCTCCTGCTTCAAACCTGCCCACATAGTCTTCCCCAATTTAGCAGAATGGCAATGACATCCACTTAGTTGCTGATGAAAACCTAGGAGACATTCTTGGTTCCTCACTTCCCCTAACCCCCTGCTGCCAGTCATTCCTTCAGCTATTCTTAGCAGCTCTGACTTCAGAGATATCCTGAATCATGTGTCCTCCCTTGATCTAGCCACCATCATTTGCCTGGCCCAGAGCATTATTAAGTTTCTAACTTATCCTCTTGCTCCCTCTTATGGTTAATTTGCCACATACACCATCACCAAATTGATCCTTTGAAAATATATGTGCTGAGTTTAAAACCCTAACAGCTTCCCCTCCTTCTGTGAGCAAAATATCTGACTCCAATATCTGACTCAATATCTGACTCCATTATCTGACTCAGCTGACTCTGCCTAACTGCATACAACAGCAGCAGCAGCAACCACACAAGTCATACTTTTTTCTCTTGAACATGCAAATTCTGAAGCCCTTTCTGACGTATGTTTGCATGAGTGGTTTTTCTTGAGTTTAGCTCTCAACCTGAGTGCCCCCTCTGAGAGGTCTTCTCTCCTACCCTCAATGAACCTCCAAGTCCCTCAATCCCTTCAGCCTTTCACTTTTATAATAGCACAAATCACTGCCTTATTAATTTGTTGTCACTTTTCCTCCTACTGGAATGTTAGCTCCATGAGAGATAAGGATCATTTCTGTCTGTCACCAAAATATCCCAATGACTGGTCCTAGCCCATGGTATACACTCAGTGAATGTTAAGTAAATGATTGGCATGGTAGATGAGTGAATGAGTGGGTAAAGGCATGCCATATCTTTTTCTCTACTACTTGCCCTCCTCCTCGCTAAACTTACTCTCTTTATATGGTCTTTGGCTTTCAGACTGGTCTAGCCCAGCCTTCCAGCAGCTCTCAGGAATAACACAGACCTGTGCCACCAAGTCCATAGGAATGGTATGTTCGATGAGAGGGGGCACCTTTTGGGGAACAGGACTCTGTTCCTGGGGGTGGCAACTGAAGATCTATCAGGCCAATAGCCATGTCCTGGGGAGGAAGCCAACGCTGGGCATGCCCCTTCTGTGTGGGCTCTGCAGGGCTGCCTGGTCCCAGGCCTCTCCTGGCCTTTTTGAGAATGGCGACAGCTTGCCTTCACCTCTACGCCTCTTATTCCTACCTCAAGTGATAGTTTTTCTCTTATGAAGATGACCTTGTCATTGGCCACAGGAAGAACAAATTCCAAATTCCAAGTGAGGCCCTGCCCACCCCAAGACACTAAGTATAAGATGACTCCTCTTTTTTAGGACAAGGTGGCTTACTTCTCCTACCCATTCACATTTGAGGCCTCTTTCCTCCATGAGGACGAATCTGCTGGTGAGTAGTTCAGCAGTTGCTCCTAGGCCTTGGGTCTCTGCAGGTGGTGCCCTCTTGGCGAAGGCCTCCTGTGACCTGGCCGCTTCTCTCACTTGCTCCCAGATGCTCTCCCAGAGTGGCCTGTGCTCTACTGCGAGGTCCTGTCCCTGGACTTCTGGCAGAGGTACCGCGTGGAAGGCTACGGGGCTGTGGTGCTGCCTGCCACCCCAGGTGACCTCTTGTTCTTGTCTTTCACATGGCCCACATGCCCTGGCTCCTAGGAACAAGACTTGCACTTCCAAAAGAGTGGACTGCTTCCAGTGAAAAGTGGGAATAATTAAGGATTAGAAGTATTAAACTTGCGGATTCCTTGCTCCTTTTGAGGAAGTGTTTTCCTGCCATTAGAGATAGCTGAGTGAGATTGCGACTCACCCTGTGAAGCTGGCAGCATGAGTCTCTCTGGGGCCTGCTTCATGCTCCTCAGATTTGATTTGTGGCTTTGAGGGAGAAGCTGTGTGGCAAATGGGCTTCAGCACATGTGAATTGAACAGGTCAGTGCCAGGCTTTGTGCTAAGTGCTTCCCATTTAATTCTCCTAACCACTCTCTGAGGTGTGTTATTTTTTTAAAGATTTATGTATTTATGCATACAAGAGCTGGGGTATAGGCCAGAAATGCCGGGGGGTGGGGTGGAGTTGAGAGGATTCACTAGAGACAGAGTGGGAAGCAGAACAGGCAGATCCACTGAAATACACTGCTGAGGGGAGCAGTAGGTAAGACATGAGAGGTCTGCTGCACCATGTGGGTTGCTCCCTGGCCAGCTGGGGATTGAACTTGTGCTGCAGTGGCTGCCAACAGCTTCATAGTGCTGAGACTTAACCCCTTGCGCCACCAGGGAGGCCCCTGAGGTGTGTTATTTCTCAGATGAAGAGAACGAGGCTCAGAGAGGTTAGGAGGCTTGTCCCAGGTACATAGGTAACAGTGGGTGGAGCTAAGATTTGAATTATCTAATTGATTTCCCAAACAGGTACCTTAAAGCACCATGAGGCCAGGTTGTCAACAGGGGTTTAGTGGTGGCAATGCCTGTGTCATTGCTGGGAGTCATGAGGGGCCCCATTCTCCTCTCCCTGCACAGGCTCACACACCCTGACAATCTCCACGTGGAGACCCATGGAACTTGGCACAGTGGCTGAGCTGCGGAGGTTTTTCATTGGTGGTTCTCTGGAACTGGAGGACCTCTCCTATGTGCGGATTCCCGGAACCTTCAAGGTGACTGTCATCTCTGGGAGACTTCATGCCAGCGCTATGTTTCTAGTTCTTCCATAGCAGATGGAATCTGGGTTAAGACCCCTAAATTGTACCTTGCTTCATATTACTTAGCTTGTGACTTTAGCTAGAAATCATGGCCATGTTTGGAACCAGACACAAATATCTACATTGCTATCCAAGGAGAACTCTGGAAAATAGTAAATGTAGAGACTTCCCCTAGTCCTCATCGGTATAACTGGCCCTGCCTTCCAGCCCATCACTGAGGCCCAGTCATCAGAGGTGGGGAGGATTGGCAGGAAGCGCATAAGACTGCCCATACTTTGATGCGGTTGGAATGTTCCTGATTTACAGTCAGAAGCCTAATGTTAGCCTTGAGGTGATGGCTTCTGGAATGAGGTTCCTCAAGAATGGAATGGGAATGGGAGTGAGGCCAGTTGGTGGCTGGGGCCTGGAGACCACAGAAAGCTGACACTGTCTGACTGTGTGCCACAGGGGGAGCGGCTGAGCCGCTTCGGGCTCCGCACAGAGACCACTGGCAGCGTCACCTTCCGCTTGCACTGTCTGCAGCAGTCCAGGTGAGTGACCCTGCCCTCTACTTTGGGCTCTTTGTCCCTGTGGGCTGGAAAGCAGCCTTGGCCATGTGGTGGGCTCCCCTGCAGGGCCTTCCTGGAGTCCAGTTCTCTCCGGAAAAGGATGCGGAGTGTGTTGGACCGTCTGGAAGGATTCAGCCAACAGAGCTCCATTCACAATGTACTGGGTAGGTGCCCCCTCCTCCCACCTGGTCAGCATGGCCACATCCTCCCCACGCCACGCCACTGACGGCTATATTTGCTTCCCTCGCAGAGGCCTTCCGCCGAGCCCGGCGCCGCATGCAGGAGGCCCGGGAAAGCCTTCCCCAGGACTTAGTGAGCCCCTCGGGAACCGTGGTCTCCTAGCTCACTGCAGCCCTAGCCATCCTGCAAGAGGGCAAGACGAGTGATACCTCGGGTCGGTGTTCTTCCTCCTCCTCTTTCTTACTGGAGACCACAGAACCTGCCAAGACCCAGAGAGCACAGAAAATCTTGGACCAGGCCCTCTCTCTAGTCTTTAGCAGGGTCTTCCTGCCACATGGAAATACACCAGGGCACCTGTTGCCCCCTTCAGGGAGGGAACCTAGGGTTCCCTCTTCATATTTCAGCTACTGCAAGTAGGGATCACAAGGCAGATTTTTTAGTTGAGACCAGTTCTGTGTAACTCTGTCGTTAGAATGTCCTTGACACAGCCTCTCTTCTGGCTTGTCTCTGTCTCAATAGCAGAAGCAGGGGTGCAGGTCCCTCCTGCCCCACAACTTGCTTTACAAATGGAGGTTCAGGAAGAAGGAAGGTGAGAGAGAGCTTAAATTCCTGGCCTGAGAATCTCAGTCTCCTCTTTCCATTATAACCTCACCCTACAGCTTGGGACTTGAGATACAACTATTTCTGGAGTAAATAAAGGCTGAAGGCAGTGCCCAGTCCTTTTGCTAGCTGGGTGGTATTTTTTATTTATTTTTGGGGGGTACATAAATGGTTTTATACCGACTGATGTTCTGTTGGCTGTTTTTCTGCTCAGGTTGCTAGCAGCCAGGGTATTCTTAATGTCAGGGCTCCAGAGGCTGCCACCCTCCCCCTCTTCTACCATTTCCTAATCCAGAGTGTTTCTTCTTATTCCCTGAGCTCAGTCCCCTACTGCAAGTGGGCATCACAACAATGCAGGGGAGATTGAAGATTGTGCCTGCTGTGTCTTAGCCGCGCGCCATAACTTCTGGAGTATGCCATAAGACTGAGGTCACACCTTCCTCTGCCCAACACAGAAACCAGCCCCTGCACTCAGCAGTGCTTTATTGGTAGAAGCTGAGCACACCGAGCAGCCTGCAGGCTCCAGAGGACGATTATGGTTAGTTAGAGACTGGGACTGTGTCTTGCAGTCACAGGCAGGAGTCAGGGACAGGCTGGGAAATAGAAGAAAGTGGCCGGAAAGCCCTGAGATGACTCTTAATGCCTGGGCCTCAAGACCTTGCTTGGCTCACAAATCCTGGCATGTGGAGCTGAAGCGTGACCTGATACCTAAGAGTCTTCCAAGGCAGGAGGATTCACTGCTGTGGGTGTCACTCCCAGCCAACGAACCAGCCAGCAAAAACATCAGCAGGGTACGGTTGCTTCCAGGGGAGAAGGGAGCCTTGTTTGTCTTCCCAGGTCCCCTTGTTTCCAAGGGCAGAGACTTGGGATGGACTTCTGTGGAAAGAGCAGAAGTAAAGAACTCACTGGGCATCCAGAAATGGAACTTTTAGGGTGCTGATGGCAAAGCTGAGGCTAACTGGCTACTTCCTAACCACCTCCCAGAGACCTAGGCCCTGATGTTAACTATCAGTCCAGAAGCTACCCCTCTCGAAAGTCCTAGGGAAGGGTGTCCTGCCCCAAGTGACAAGTTCTGTTTGTTCTGCTTAGGGGCCTCAAAGGTCACAGTTATCCCATATCCAGGGGAGACTGGGAGGGCTTGGCCAGCCCAGGGCTGCTGGAGGAGGGCCTCCCCTTACCTGCAGAAGCCTCACCGGCCTCGCCAGGCTGACAGGTTCAACCTGGGGATGTGGCTGCAGCTCACAAAACCGCGGGGGTAGATGTTGGCCCTGAATATGTTCCTTGAAACAGTGGTGATACCAGTATTGTCACATATAATTCGAGACAAGGAAATCCGTCTCAGGGCCTTGCGCTGTCGCTTGGTGAAAACACCTCGTTTCTGCCACCAGAACCTACCAAGACAGTCAAGCTGTGGGTCAAGGTTGGGGAGGAAAACATAGGAGCACTTGCAGTATCAGGTACTTTATGTGTGTTATTTCATTCAAGTCTCACGAAATTCCTAAAATTAGGTATTATCCCTGTTTTATGAATGAAGAAACCAGTTCAGGGGTCAAGTAAAATTATATAGTTAGAGGCCCGGGATGGACTTTGGTAAACACCGGGATGGATTTTGGTAAACACCGAATCCCAATAAGAAGGCAGGTCATAAGCCACAAGCTTACTGTATGGAAGCCAAATTTAACCTTTTTTTTTTAAATTTTATTTTTGTGTAGAAGAACTGGGGTGTAGGCCACAGGTTTAGGGGTGGTGGTGAGAGGATTCATCAGAGACAGTGGGGGACAGAATAGCCGCATCCACTGAAATACACTGCTGAGGGTCATGTGGGCCAGACAGGATAGGTCTGCTGTAGGAGTCAGCAGACTGTGTGGGTCAGTAACCTGGCTGGGCATCAAATTCAGGCCGTAGAGTTGATAGTGCTGAGGCTTAACCCTTACACTACCAGGGAGGCCCCAGGTTTAGCCTTTTTGGATCATATTATCTGGGAACCATGAGCCTGGGATAGCAAGACTGACAAGTCTAGCTCAGGTTAAATGTGTTAAATGTTAAATGTCAGCCTTGCCAAGGCAGTGGTCTCTCTGGCCAGGTTCTCCAGGGAGGACCCTCCTGGTCTTAGATCCTGTGAGCTTAGAAGAATGAAGCTAAAAAGAGCACTTTTGCCGTTATTGAGTCTTGACACACTAGTGCTTCTCTGTCCTGCCCCGGGGTCACTCACCTGTCTCCACTTCGGACTTTTCTAAACTGGTGCTCAAAAAGACAAGCTAGAAGAGGCCCCACTCGGGCCCCTGGCAATAAAGGCTCTGCAATGGCCCCAACCCAGATGTCAATGTTGTCAGGTGTCCCGTACAGATTCAGGAACTTCCTTGCCAAATTATGGTTTCTCAGGACTTGACTGAGCTGTGCCAGATTCCGGGGCTGGGAAAGCCCACAGAAGCGCCTCCAAGCATTGTACCCTGGAGGAGAAGGGGAAAAAGCAGTTCAGTCTTGTCCCTGTTGACTTCCCATTAGCTCCTGTCCATAGTGTTCCTGGTGGAGAACCATGTGGTCAAGCAACATTGGCTAAAACAAGCTCCCTGCTGACAGACGAGGCCCTGAACCTTCCAAAGAGCAAACCACTGCCTTCCAGTGACCATGAGAGTGGACAGCTGTGCTTTCTGTGCAGCAAATCAAGCAGCGGGTCCCCTAACAACTCATCACCACAATGACATGACTATATTACAATTAGGTACCAATAAGACAGTACTCAGAACATAAAAGACTCTTCAGGTTTGTAGAATGAACAAACCAATGAGCAAACAAGAAATAAAAAGTGACTCAAAAAAAGGACACATGCTGTATTTATGTGAAAGATCCAGAATAAGCAAATATATAGAGACAGAAAATAGATTAGTGAAAATAAGGGGGTTGCAATTGTATGGGGAATATAAAAATAAAAAAGAAAAGAAAATAGGTAAGTGGGTATCAGGGACAAGGATTCCTTTGTTAATGATAAAAATGTTGTGATTGATGCACAACTCTAGATATACTAAAATCATTGAATTGTATACTTTATATGGGTGAATTTTATGGTATGTTCATTGCAGCTCAAGAAAGCTTTTTTTTTTTTTTTTAAAGATTTATTTATTTATACAAGAACAGGTGCTCATGACAGCTGAGAGCTGTGGGTGCCCCCTGCTGGAGAACTGAGGTTGCTCCTCACCCAGTTGGCACATAGTTTCTGTTCCCCCATTACTTGTTCCATCCCAGCTGGCCTAGAAATATTTTTCTTGCAGCGTCTTCTAATCCCTACCCAAGTCTGGCACAGGCCAGATGTGCAGGAGGGTGAGAGGATACACCAGAGACAGAGCGGGGAACAGAACAGGCAGACTGATGAAATACACTGCTGAGGGGAGCAGCGGGCACGACAGGAGAGGTCTGCCACACCATGTGGGACCCCCGCCGGCCAGTGGGGATCAAGCCGGCGCTGCTGAGGCCGCGGACAGCTTCACAGTGCGGCGCTCAACCGCCTGCACCACCAGGTGAGGCCCTCAATAAAGTTTTTTAAAAATATTTTTTTACCTATTCAAGAAACTTCTAGAGACCAGCCATAATGACTCGTTGGCTGTTAGGAATCCACAGTAGGACCAAGCCACACAATGTGTTGGAAGCCACCAATAGCTTTACTCTACCCCAAAGAAACACCAGCCCATCGTCCATTGATCTCTAGCTCACACATACCATTCACCAGATGAACAAAGGGAAACCAGAGTTTTAAAGTTTATCATTACAAAGCACTGTTCCATGAATATCCCACAGGATCCTCCCAACATCACTGTGAGGTACTTTGTAATCCCCATTTCGCCAGTGGCTGTCTATTGAACTTGACTTTTCCAGGGTTACTCTACTATTAAATAGAGTTCAAACCCCGTCTTCCAAATTCTAAATTTGGTCTTGGGCTTGGGTAGGGATTAGAAGACGCTGCAAGAAAAATATTTCTAGGCCAGCTGGGATGGAACAAGTAATGGGGGAACAGAAACTCACTATGTGCCAACTGGGTGAGGAGCAACCTCAGTTCTCCAGCAGGGGGCACCCACAGCTCTCAGCTGTCATGAGCACTTGGTGAAAGACCCTCAGGCTCTTCAGTGCCTGCTGTGTGACACACACAGACACACACACACACACCCCCAGAAGCCTGGGAGAAGAGGCGGCCAGTCTGCTCACCTGGGAGGCCATGGTCCCGACTGCGTTGCATGTTGAGAGATGCCAGGTCCAGCCCGATCCTTTTCACTTGCTGGAAGAGTCTGTCCCGGAGCTCATCCACTAACATGGAATCCTGACGGTTCAGCTTGGCAGGGGTGGCCATGAGGCCTCGGATGATGGGGTCAATGCCACCTGGTGGCAAAAATGTAAGCAGCACAGGTTAGGCCAGCCTCTGGGAAGCCTCTCAGGTCATCCCATGATGCCACGGTAGCTCAGAGCTAGACATGCCAGTGGCTTCTATAATAGAATCAGGAAAGAGGTCAGGTGGACATGAAGGGAGCTGGAACTGACAGGGAAAGGGGTGACCCCCCACAGCTAATAGAAGCTGTGGAAGGCAAACTCCATAGGCCCACAAACTGTCAGTCTGACAGTGTCCTCTCCTTTTAGGGTAGAGGAGGCTGGGGACAGAGGGTCTTAGCACCTGCCTTGTTGTCACTGTCCTGAGGAAATGATTAGTAGTGGCCTGAGCAACAGCCTGTCATTCTGGCAATAAGATTAACCCAACTGGGGGAGGGTGTGACCTGCATTCCATTCCCATCAGCCTCAGGGAAACCTGGTCACCTTCATGCACAACCCTCCAGGTGGCAAAGAAGACAGAGCTAAGTGGGACGTGTGAATTGGGTGCTGAGGCCCTGAACTGGTTGTCCAAACGTAACATGAAGGGCTGGAGCATGGTGTGGCCAAAGCGGAATGCCAGAGTGAAGACGTTGGCCACACGGGGGTCCACATTGGAGTTATACCCCCTGTAGGGCCCCAGGGCTCTCCTGGCACGGGCCTTGCCCAGAACTAGAGGTAGATAGTCTCGGTAGGTGATGATCTGTAAGAGAAGACATGAAAGGAACATTACTTACTTGTAGCCACCCACCCCATCCCCCTTGCATGGACTTTCACTTATTGAAGGGCCAGCAGACATAGTCTTTTCTGTCATCATGTCAAGTGTGGCAACTGCTGCACCTCCCCTGCAGTGACCTTTAGGGCTAACCGGCCCTAGGTCCGGCTGGGCAACCAGCGCGCAGGGGAAGAACAGCAAAACCCTACCTGCTGCACCTCCCCCCGCAGTGATCTTTAGGAATGGCTTTCGCCACGGTCCCTAGATCCGGCTGGGCAACCAGCGCGCGGGGGGGAGAACAGCCTGAAGCAGAGGAAGTGCAGCGGAAAGTTCCCTGAAAAGGCAGAAGCTTATCAAAAGATAACGACCACCAAGAACCACTACAAGAATGCTAAAAATCTTATCCCGTCTTTCTAAAACTACAAACTTTAATCCCTTATCTGTCTTTCTAAAACTTCCTCCTTTCTTCTATAATGGTCATTGTTTGTTATGTAGATCACCTCCCTGATGGTGATAGACTGAGCCCAGGAGCAAGCTAATTTCTTTGATATTCATTCCTGTGCTTTTGGAAAACATATATATACTGGTCACAAACTCAAAGAAAATTACACTCAGATTTTCACTCTTGAAGTGTGTCTGTTTGCCATTTCTTTCGCTGACGCCCTCACCACCCTGCATGCTTCTCTCAACCCTGAGGTGGCCTCATCGTCTACTGCTGTGCTGGTCCGCGGCAGGCAACATTAATTTCCAAATGATTGATGAGATACTGAAGTTCAAAGGGACTGAATGAAACAGTCCTACAGTTAATGGCAGAATGGGAGTAGAGGTCAGTTATCACCCCCTAATCACTAGCTGTCTTGAAGCACCTGTCCTAGGATATAGGGAAGGAGGGCACCACTTCCCCAGATTGCTTCTCATGCCGATTGTCTCATTCCTCAGATCATCTACCAGGGGACCCAGGGCTCCCCACCTGGACCATGGCCCCCACGATCTTCCGAGCCTCCTGGTACAACTTGTTTCCACTCCACCGGGGATTCAGGCGTTTCAGCGCAGCAGCCAGCCGGTTGTGTTCTCGCACAAAGAGGGTATGCACGGCAGTCAGCATGGGAGTTTCAGTTGATCGGAAGTCACCTTGAAAACCCCACGGTCAGAGTCACTACAGGCTTCCCAGAGAGATAGCTCTCTGCTGGGGCGACCAGAGCTCTGAGGAATAGAGAGAAGTGGTGGGACTTTGTGACTGGAACCTTCATCTCAGCGGACCTCCATCTCCTCAGCTGGGCTGTGGGCGCCACTGATGGCCACACCCCAGCCCAACACAGCGGGCCGGGAGGTGGGGACAGCAGGGCCATGGGGCTTTAAATGACTGGAACAGGGTTGGGCTTGATGGGAAAGTGCGGGGTCTTGAGCAGGAAAATCTTTGCCTAGTGCTTTGCCTCTACCTGATGAGCAGATCCGCAGCTGGTGGAGGGGCCAGACTGATTCAGATTGTGAGTCCACCTGTCCTGTGAACTTCGCCATGTGTACATTCTCTATGGAGGGCTGGACCTTTCCCCAGCTTTGGGCTTGATATCAAGCTACTCTCCCGGAGAGCACAGGGAAAGAGAAAGAAAGAGGAGCCCACTCCTGCAGCCAGGCCTTCTCCTAGAGGCCCGCAAGGAAAGACAATTCCTCAAGGTGGGCCTCATCTACAATCACTTACTGGCTTTGAATGAAACCCTTGTTGACAAGGTCTGACTTAATCCACTCCTCAGTAGACCACATGAGAAGGTGTGTGTGCTCTTGCCAGCGCGAAGAAATACATGATCCTCAGACCAGGGGCCTGGAGCCGACTCCTTGCGAAGACAGGCAGTGTGGAGAGGAAAGTGCACAGACCCCGCCATGACACCAACGTGAGTCCCTGCCATGACTCCGCCATCTGCAACTCTGTACCCTGGAGCTCATTAGTTATGTCCCTGAACCTCAGAGCCTCATGTGTGAAACGGGGGTGACAATAATTCCCTCCTTTCAGACCTGCTCTAAGGACTAGAGATGCACGTTTAGATATCTGAAATAACCAGAAATGATGATCCTCAACATTATAACCAGCACACCAGACCAAGACCCCCAAGGAGAGTGCAAATTACGTATTCAGAAGATGGGACCAGGTCAGTACCTAGCTACAGTGGGGGGCAGGGATGGGAATTTAAAACCCCATATAACCCAGAGAAGGAAAAAAAAATAGATGGAAGTAAGGCTGCTTTCAGGTCATTAAGAGGCATGGCAGTGTGAGAGACAGCTTATTCTCTGAGGTGCAGCAGTGTGAGCAAGAGCAATGGGTAGACCCTGGATGAAAACGAGGGTGCACTTTCTAGCGGTGTGCAGGCCCTGTTGGGGTTGGAGAGGAGCAGGCACAGGCGGTGAGGCGCTGATCACTGGAAAGAGCCCAGCGGACAGTGGCTGGGCACACACAGGGCATCTGTAAGGGACCTCCTTCCAACTTACTGACTCAGTGATGACTCTGCACCAAGCAAGGGACACACTACGGCAAGGTGGGAACCCTAGTACCCCGGCGGCATCCCACGTGGCCCCCGGCCCAGTCCCCAGCGACTATCAGGGGAAGACCCCCCTCTCCCCAGGCTGACCTGCCAGGAAGCAGGGGATGTTCACGGAGTGGTTGGTGAGGAGGCAGGGGTCATTCCGCAGGCTGTCGAAGGGCAGCAGGGCGCGGCCGTGGTCGTGGAAGCGCGTGTTGACCGCCAGCAGCCCCCGCTGGTTGGACCGGTTGCGCAGCCGCCGGCCCAGCGAGACGTCGCTGCCATACACCATGCTGGCGTCCAGGAAGGAGGTGATCGAGTTGATCTGATTGCGGACTTGATTTCTGTTCCGTGGGCACGAGGGTGCGGAGCGGAAGAAGGGGATGCAGTCCCGTTGGTTCTTGATGCGGGGGTCATTGGGCGGGATCTGAGATAGAAGGGGAGCCCGTGAGGCTGCAGCCCCAGGAGGAGGAGCAAGCTCGCTCCTCTTGGTCCTCACCCCACCTGCTTCAAAACCGTGCTCAAAAGTCCCCTCCTTGGTTCCTAGCCAGTGAGTGTCCTTAGCACTTTAGGTCAGAGACTCACGAGAGATTGGAACTGGATGCGGTCTGAGAGCCTCATTTTACACATGGCAAAGCTGAGGCTCCCAGAGGGGTAGTGAAGACAGGTTTAGGCGGAGAGGAGAGATTAGAACCGGGTTCTGACCTTAGCCCTATGCTCCTTTAATTTCATTCAATTCCACAGACATTTCTTAAGGGCTTTTCTGTGCTGGGTACTTTGGAGACTCACAGTCAACAAATTCCAGGACAAAAATTGCAGGAAACTGGCAATTCAGGGATATCAGACACACACATGAGTAACATCTAAATTGAGGTGGCATGTGCTATGCTCCTCTAAAAGCCAAAAGCTATAGGTCATGGGATGATGTGGGAAGGTTCCCGGGAGGAGGAGGTGCGCTTGCACCCTAGCTTCAGGAATGGGTCAGGTTGCAATTGGCAGGAAGGTCGCCCTGCCTATTAAGGGTGTATGGATGGGTGGACGTGTGTCTCCCATCTCCCCTGCACTTCCTCTTTTCTTCCACAGTGTTCCACACCATCCTTGCTTCAGCCTGAGCGAGCGCATACTCTCACATACCATTGAGGAATTGGTGAGAGCTGCAGGCCCTTGAGCCACCCGAGAAAGGAGAGAAGGGCCAGAGATAAGAGACCCTAAAGGTTTCCAAGAGCAGAGGGCTGGGGGCTTCCCCTGTGGAGTCAAAACCAAAGGTCAAGGCCAGTCTCAATGCCTTCCTGCTCCGTGAGGCCTGTGCTGGACCTCCTGGTTCCCACCTGTGCCCCTAAAACATGAACTGCAGGGGGGTGCATGCCAGGCTGTGCATCTTGTCTCTGTCTGACACTCCAGTTTCACAGACAGCTCCTAAGTATGGTGCTCTAGGCTGCTAGGTCTCCCTCCCCCATATCTCAGCCAGGAAATAGGCTCCAGAGGCTGGCCGAGGGTACCTTGATGGGGAAGCAGGGGGGCAGCTGAGCACAGGTCTTCTCACAGTCAATGCCCGCAGTGAAGGCCACTGTGGCTGGGGACGTGGGGGTGAAGTCCAAGTCATGGTCGATGAACTGGCCCCACTGCATGAACATGAGGGCCCGGCCCCGGTCGGAGGCCAGCCTCTCCCTGGGGAAGCGCACGATCTGGTTGGAGACTGCCCGGACCTGGTAGGGAGACAGGTCAGTAGGGGATGTGGGATCTCTGATGCTGCCCGGTGTCTGCACCAGCCCTGGACTTGGGGGTCACCAGGTCACTCTCGCTGGAGTTAACAGAGTCTCTTCTCTCCTGCCCTCCCTTCCCCGTCCCTACTTTGTCCCATGTCCTGTGTGACTGTCATTTCTAGAAGGGTGACCTCTGACCTGACTCTGAGGATTCCAGGAGTAAAGAGAAGGGTGGAGGCTGGGTGGGTTGAGTCCAACCCCACTAGCTTGTCCAGAGACATAAACAGATCAAAGTGATAGATTAATTTGTAAACTAATTGATCGTTAGATGGTAGAACTGATGACAGCTGCGTGGACTGGTTGCTAGGTGATAGATAATAAACATAGAATTGAAATTGAGGTAGGTGGAAAGATCCACGGGAAAAAAATGAATAAATAGATGCTGATAGATGATAGATTGTCGTAATTAAAGTATTTATATTGCCGAATAGAAAATTGATGAATTGATAAATGTAAAATCGTTTAGCTCAATAGGTATAAAGTATATAATTCTTTAGCAAGATATTTTGACACAAACTCTTTCAGAAAATGACAGTAGTAGATCACATCTTATATGGCTGTGTAAAGCAAGCATTTTCTTTAATATTCACATCCACTCTAGAGGGTTTTTTTTTTTAAAGAGAGAATGTGTTTTGTTTTGTTTTTTAAAGATTTATTTTTATACAAGAACCGGGGTACAGGCCAGATGTGCAGGCGGGTGAGAGGATTCACCAGAGACAGAGTGGGAAACAGAACAGGCAGAAGGACCGAAATACACTGCTGAGGGGAGCAGCGGGAGAGACAGGAGAGGTCTGCCATGCCATGTGGGATTCTGGGCGGCTGGCTGGGATCCAACGCGCCCTGCAGAGGATGCGGACAGCTTCGCAGTGCTGCGCTCAACCGCCTGCGCCAGCAGGGAGGCCCACTAGAGGGAGTTATTACCGCCATTTTACAGCCAGAAGACTGAAACTCAGCTCTGTTACTTGACCAACGACACCCCGCTAGTGGATTTAAGCCTGGATTCGAGCCCTGCCTGGCTGACTTGGATCTATACATTTAATCCCTGTGTTTGGAAGAGGTGGAGCTTCCTCCAGAGACCCTCAACCCCAACTCACAAGAGGGAGGAGGAAGCCGTTGCGCCTCCTGCCTGGAGTCCAGCCGAAAGGGCGCGACAGCCGGTCCTCATACTCTGCAGGCAGCCAGCGGGCCAGGGCCTGGTTGGAGGCCCCCAGCCAGGGTCTCCTCCTGCAGCAGTGGGTGGGCCTGGGTCAGCAGGGTTCAGAACCCAGAGACCCCAAAGTATGGAGGAAGGGGGTGGGTGAGGGAAGAAGGCACCCTTAGGGCAGGCGCAGCCCCTGGCACCCACCTGTTGTTGCATCTCCCAGTGATGGTGCGATATTTGCCACTGCACTTCTCCACCTGGTCCTGGCGAGCACAGCCACTGGCCTGGGACAGCAGCTGCAGCTGGGGTTCTGTCAGCACATCTGGGGTGGGACAGGAGGGCAGGATCCTGGGTCTAGGGGCCTACCTCTTTCCTGAACTCGTATGAACTTTCATACCTCCTATCCCTTTACCCTCTTCCCAAGCCTGTGCATCCTGCCCCCCACTCCTGGCTTCCTCTACTCCCGGGTCAGGGCAGGCCCTGGGGCCTCTGTGGGGAGTGCGATACCAGTAACATTGAAGGTTCCTGATGCCTGGAGTTGTAATTTCTCCTCCAGCAGCCCCAAGGCCACATGCATATAATCGGCAGCCTGAACCACTGTCCTGGTGGCTGCTGCTGGTTGCTTGAAGTAGGACAGGAGATCCATGGGGCTGGCGGATCCACTACGCAGGCGCTGCCTGAAGCTGCCAGAAGAGGTGAGAGTTGGATAAAGAAGGACACCCACCTAAGGCCTCAACCTAAGGCGGACAGTCAGGACCATATAAGCAGGCAAGGATGGCAGACCCTCTACCAACAGGACACTGCTCCATGATGCCCACCCCCCTCACTGGCCCCCTCAGCCGCCCCCCAGGGCCCAGACTCAGACCTACCTCCTCTGAGTCTGATTGTAGGCAGTGTCCACCAGCAACTTGGCCTCTGCTATACAGTCCTGAAGGACTGTGGTCTCCACTGCCTGGGGGGAGGCTGTTCAGAGGAAAGGGCAGGCAGTCAGGGTCCAGGGGAGCTGTAGGGGCCCCCTGATCCAAGTGTTCCCCCTGCTTAGCTATCTGAGCGACTATTACTATTACCTGGGGCAGTGCTCTCACATGGCTGGGCCAGGATGAGTGAGGCTACAAGCCCTGTCAGGGCCAGGGACAGCGTCATCTCTGCAGCGGGGGACCAGCCACAGTGGGGTCCCAACCACAATGGGGTCCCAGCCGCAGCGGGGCCCACAGTTCACTCCAGCCGCCAGCACCCGGTGGCGTCCCTGCTCCCTTGTCACTCGAGGACGCCCAGCCGACCGCTCACCTCCTCCTGTTTTTCTCTGGAAATAGCTGGGAAGCAGCCCTTATATCCCACACGGGTGGGCCCCTGAAGCCCAGCCTCTTGAGGCGGAGCTCTGGAACTTCCCTTTCATTTCAGGGCAGTTGTAAGACTGAACCCCCCACCCCACCCACCCCTCACCAACCTGCAGAGGTCCTTCCTCCTGCCCATGCGCCCTGGCCCACTCCAGCCTCCTTGCTGCGGAGCTCACTGATGTATCCCCAGCACAGAGCAGCGCCTGGAACTCAGGCTTCGCTCCCGACTGTCTGCTGGGACTGAGAAGCCGTGTGCCTCAAGAGGATGGGGCCTGGTCCTAACTAGTCGTATGGTCTCGGTCAAGTCGCTTCCCTCCGCTGGGTCTCAGTTTGTACATCCCTAAAATGGGACTTGAGCCAGATGATTAGAAAGGCTCCTCTCCTCCCCAGCAGGGTGGAACCGGGGTCTGCCTTACAATCGTTTCTCTTCATGCCTCCAGCACCAGGCTAGGCAGTTGGGTGCTCAGAATGCGTGTTGAGTGAATGACAAATGTAGGCTCTATGACTTGACCCCCCTCCCCTTATTCCTTAACCCTATCAACTCTCCCCAGTGTGCCGGAGATGCCTGAGTCTGGGCCTGGAAGTGAAGATGATGCGGTGACCTCATGGAGCCATTTGCGGACACAGTGAGATGTCACGGGTGACGCAGCCGTAGAGCAATAGCAGCAGGATCCTGCCTTGAGCTTAGTGCCTCTCCACGTGTCCTTCGACACCTGTTGTAGTGGGTTCGTGCTGAGTATCTGGTGTAAATTCTGACATCCTGTCAGGCTGGTCAACAGTCACTTCCTTAGAGAGTCAAGCGGTCTCAGGCCGATGTGGCCTTGAATCTGACTCTGTCACTACCTGTGCAACCTCAGCTGAGGCTCCATTTCCACACTTACGGGCAGAGCACCCCTGCAGTTCCTCCACTGGATGTGCTACACTTCGTATCCCCTGCTTCAATCCCCTCCTGGTATGCTCATCTCTCCGTACACAGTTCCAGAATCTCCCTGCCACGCCTTGCCACCTGCCTGTCCTCGCCCCGTCTTCCAGTGGATGTCCCCACAGAGCAGACCTTGTGCCTGTCCTGCACGTCCTTGTCTGCTGTCCTCTCACCCTGAGCCTCCCTCATCTCTGCCCCAACACCCTCCCAAGCCCCCACTTCCCACACCAATGCCACCGCGGCAGTTGCTCTTGAAACAGCCCCTTTCACAAGCTCCAGCTGCAGGTCTGGGCCCTGCTCTTCCTATCTCCTTATCTTCAGCAGGGCGGGAAGCGGGGGGAGGTAGAGGGGGGTGGGGGGGAGCTGCTCTCCTGTGACATGGGGCCCTAGATGGAGGGTCACTCTGCAGCGCTGAAAGTACACTGGGTTCCTTGCAGCTGACCCCTGGGCGACTTGGGACAAATCATACCACTCTCTGGACCTCAGTTAGGGAGGTCCGGTCCCTGGCTCTCCGAGCCCCAACCCTCCTCACGTGGAAACGGGCATGCCAGCTGCCAGCACCAGGGCTGCTGGAAACAATGAAGTGACAGTGATGGGGGGAGAGGTCCTTGAGGGGCTCACCAGTGTGGAAGCTGCCCCCTCTCTGGCTGTGACCTTTATGATGGGGCAAGCCTGGCCATGCAGAGTCCTGCCAGCTCCTGCCAGGTCTCTCAGTGGTCAACTTTAACATCTTCCTTTCCTCTGTGGGCAGAGCCAGCCACATCCAGAGACCAAAGGAGAGACGTGGACGAGGCCACTGGCCCACACATTCCCCAAGGGCTGCTCATGACGCCCATCGGGACCTCATTGGAAGAATTTCGGATTTTCCTTGTAGTTAAGTGTTGACCAGTGGCAACCTAGAGTGTGATACTGGGAACATATTTTTTTGATGTCTTCTCCTCTACACAAAAAATTATTATACTTTCAGCAATACTCATTAAGTGAAACAAATAATAATGGTTACAAAGAAATGTGTGAAAGTTCTCTCTTATTAAACTTGGTACATAGGGCCTCCCTGGTGGCGCAGGCAGTTGAGCGCCGCACTGTGAAGCTGTCCGCAACCTCTGCAGCACGGGTTTGATCCCAGCCAGCCAGTGAGAATCCCACATGGCGCAGCAGACCTCTCCTGTCTCGCCTGCTGCTCCCCTCAGCAGTGTATTCCGTCAGTCTGCCTGTTCTATTATCCCACTCTGTCTCTGGTGAATCCTCTCACCCTCCTGCGCTTCTGGCCTGTACCCTGGTTCTTGTATAAATAAGTAAATCTTTAAAAAAAAAAAACAACTTGGTACATATAATCATGCCATTAAAAATATAAAAATAAAATATTACAATGTGAAAACTAAAAGGTTATAGATTAATACTTTTTAATTACATGCTTGTCCTTTAAATAAAGGGGGGAAACTGCCTATATATTGGTGGCTTTAATATATTTAATTTTATTGTAATTTCTTGTTTCATTTTTTAGTTTCAAATTTCAGTTACACAATAAAAAATAAAAATAGAAGAAAAAATTTCAGTGTTAAAAGATGGGGTGAGGCAGGGGTTGGGGGGCCACGATGGCATAGAGCCTTAGGGTGGGCTCTATGTGCACCCCTTGGCCATTGCCATGCAAGGCTAAGAAGGCAGGAGTGGGTGCCACCCAAGGTCTTGAGGATGGACAGTCTACTGAGAATGGAGGCTTCCGCTGGGGACATCGGAGAGGGATGCCCCTCTGGTAGGGTGCTTGGGAAGGTCAGCTCCCTACAAGGCCTGTGTGAGCTCTTCCCTGCGTAGGTGGAGTCAAAGCTGCTGCTGAGGGTGAATTGAGCCCCTTACAGGTCTGGGACCTGGCTGGACCCCAGAGATGGGGTGTCATGCAGGAGGGCTCTTCCACCTGAAAAGGAAATGAGCAAAAGAAAAGTCCAAGACTGAGCCACACAGGAGGAAAAGATTTATAATGAGATCTATCACCCCAATCTTGGGGTGACAGGAGGAGAGGGGGCTGCTCAGAGACTGGGAATAGAAGGGCCAGAGGTAGGAGGAGGCATCCTCAGGGAATACGCCCCTGCCAGGCCTGGCCCGCAGCAGCTCTCCCTCCCTCCTTGCTGAGCTAGGGGTACGAGGCTTGGAGGACTTGGTGCTACTGGCCTTTCAGGCCGTCCCCTTTGCTGACTCAAACTTCCCTGCAGCTTCTCCTAGGGAAAGGAACTCGTGGAGCTCAAAAAGGCTGGCTCCTGTCTATCGCCCCTCTTCGTCTCTCCTTACCTGCCCTCTAAACCCGATGGCTTTCACCCTCCTAGAATGGGGCTAGCCTTACCTGCTCTGGGTCTCAACCACGAAGGCACTTTGTGCCTCGATGATCCAAGAATCAACTACTGACCTCCAGAGCCTTTCCTCACCTGCACCCCCTGGCCACAACTTGGGTGTCTGGGTCTTCCTGCTCCTCATTTTTATAACTGCACATCTGTCAGGACCTGGTGCTCTTGACCTGGGCATTGTTTTACCTACCAGGGATGTCTGGTCAGCCCCAATCAGTGACTATCCTTGCAGACCTGACCCTGCCAGACCGAGGCCCAGTGCCTGGACCCTGAAGGAGTCTTCCCTCCCTAGGATCATTGAGAGGCAAAACCCAAGACCCCTCCTTTCTGCCCTCCCCTGGCCATCTCAAAACCTCAAGATTCTGCAACCACTTTCACAAGAACCGTCCGTCAGCCATGGTGGGGACACTGGCCACAGGCCTGATTGGATCTCTTTATCTGCAGGACTCCAACGGCCCCCGTGGAGCAGAGCTGAGGGCCTGCTCTTCCTCCCAGGCAGGAAGGGGCTCTGGTGAGCTCTTGAGAGACACACAGGTCCAGGCTAGCAGGTCCACTGAGGCAAGTGCCCATCCCCTTCCCTCTCCTTTGTCTTCACCTGCGCTTCACTCCTCCATCAGACTGAGAACTCCCAGGGCAGGGGCCAGGGAGAGACAGATCAAGGGCTTATAGGCAAAGCAGACCGAGTCAGAGACATGAGTAAGAGGGCTCAGTGGGGAAAGATACCCACAGGGCGCTGCCCCTCGTGGGGTAACAGCAGCCCTCTGGGGCCGGTTCCAGTGAGAGGGCTGCAGCTGGCGGGGTGATTTATTCTTGGCATTTGCCAGTCCCCTGCCACGTTCTGTGTTTTACTACACTCACCTGAGTCTTCGCAACAAACTTATAAGGCAGGACCTGCCACCTGGGACCTGATTTGATTTGATGTAGAGAGAAAACAATATGTCACAGTCCCAGGGCCAAGAAGATCTCAGCCTGGGTCCGCTTCTACTAGCCTCTAGCTTTACTCCTCCATCAGACTGAGAACTCCCAGGGCAGGGGGCAGGGGGAGGCAGATCAAGGGCTTATGGGTGAAGCAGACTGAGTCAGAGACATAATGAATAAGAGGGCTCACTGGGGCAAGATTCCTACAGGGCCCTGCCCCAATCTCCAAGGGCATGGATGTAGCCTGAAGCTGGAAATGTGCCATGGCCTGAGCAGGCCACGCTGATGGCTCCTAAGTGGGACTTGAGGGGAGTCTGCTAGGCCACATGGACTGCTCTGACTGCACCCCCCCAACCTCTCCTGATGAGTCTTCCATGGTGGTTGCCCCATTGGAGGGGAAGATGGAAGCCACCCTGGAGGACAGGGTGCAGGGAGGAGCAGAATAAGGGGTAAGGGCTGGGTCCCTGAGAGGGAAGCATCTACCCCACATCGGCCCCCTTGGACTGCACATTCTCACCACGGGAAAGGGTCCACATTGACCCATTTTGTATCCTGGCATCTCAATACATCTAGAAAGAGTACTGGGCATTAGGGTTATGGTAGTCACAAAACCAGGTATCCAACAGAGAA